ACTACACCGTCCCCACGTACTTGTCACTACACCACGTACTTGTCACTACACCGTCCCCACGTACTTGTCACTACACCACGTACTTGTCACTACACCGTCCCCACGTACTTGTCACTACACCACGTACTTGTCACTACACCGTCCCCACTTGTCACTACACCGTCCCCACACTTGCACTACACCACGTACTTGTCACTACACCGTCCCCACGTACTTGTCACTACACCGTCCCCACGTACTTGTCACTACACCGTCCCCACGTACTTGTCACTACACCGTCCCCACTTGTCACTACACCGTCCCCACGTACTTGTCACTACACCACGTACTTGTCACTACACCACGTACTTGTCACTACGCCACGTACTTGTCACTACACCACGTACTTGTCACTACACCGTCCCCACGTAAGTGTTACTACACACCACGTAATTGTCACTACACCACGTACTTGTCACTACACCGTCCCCACGTACTTGTCACTACACCACGTACTTGTCACTACACCGTCCCCACGTACTTGTCACTACACCACGTACTTGTCACTACACCACGTACTTGTCACTACACCGTCCCCACGTACTTGTCACTACACCACGTACTTGTCACTACACCGTCCCCACGTACTTGTCACTACAACACGTACTTGTCACTACACCGTCCCCACGTACTTGTCACTACACCACGTACTTGTGACTACACCGTCCACACGTACTTGTCACTACACCGTCCCCACGTACTTGTCACTACACCACGTAATTGTCACTACACCACGTACTTGTCACTACACCGTCCCCACGTACTTGTCACTACACCGTCCCCACGTACTTGTCACTACACCACGTACTTGTCACTACACCGTCCCCACGTACTTGTCACTACACCACGTACTTGTCACTACACCGTCCCCACGTACTTGTCACTACACCACGTAATTGTCACTACACCGTCCCCACGTACTTGTCACTACACCGTCCCCACTTGTCACTACACCGTCCCCACTTGTCACTACACCACGTACTTGTCACTACACCGTCCCCACGTACTTGTCACTACACCGTCCCCACTTGTCACTACACCGTCCCCACGTACTTGTCACTACACCACGTACTTGTCACTACACCACGTACTTGTCACTACACCACGTACTTGTCACTACACCACGTAATTGTCACTACACCGTCCCCACGTACTTGTCACTACACCGTCCCCACGTACTTGTCACTACATTACGTGCTTGTCAATACACCACGTACTTGTCACTACACCACGTACTTGTCACTACACCGTCCCCACGTACTTTTCACTACAACACGTACTTGTCACTACACCACGTACTTGTCACTACACCGACCCCACGTACTTGTCACTACACCACGTATTGTCACTACATCACGTACTTGTCACTACACCGTTTCCACGTACATGTCACTACACCACGTACTTGTCACTACACCACGTACTTGTCACTACACCACGTACTTGTCACTACACCACGTACTTGTCACTACACCGTCCCCACGTACTTGTCACTACACCACGTACTTGTCACTACACCGTCCCCACGTACTTGTCACTACACCGTCCCCACTTACTTGTCACTACACCGTCCCCACGTACTGTCACTACACCACGTACTTGTCACTAAACCGTCCCCACGTACTTGTCACTACACCACGTACTTGTCACTACACCGTCCCCACGTACTTGTCACTACACCGTCCTCACGTACTTGTCACTACACCACGTACTTGTCACTACAGCGTCCCCACGTACTTGTCACTACACCGTCCCCACGTACTTGTCACTACACCGTCCCCACTTGTCACTACACCGTCCCCACTTGTCACTACACCGTCCCCACGTACTTGTCACTACACCACGTACTTGTCACTACAGCGTCCCCACGTACTTGTCACTACAACGTCCCCACTTGTCACTACACCGTCCCCACGTACTTGTCACTACACCACGTACTTGTCACTACACCGTCCCCACGTACTTGTCACTACACCGTCCCCACGTACTTGTCACTACACCGTCCCCACGTACTTGTCACTACACCACGTACTTGTCACTACAGCGTCCCCACGTACTTGTCACTACACCGTCCCCACGTACTTGTCACTACACCACGTACTTGTCACTACACCGTCCCCACGTACTTGTCACTACACCACGTACTTGTCACTACACCGTCCCCACGTACTTGTCACTACACCACGTACTTGTCACTACACCGTCCCCACGTACTTGTCACTACAACGTCCTCACGTACTTGTCACTACACCGTCCCCACGTACTTGTCACTACACCGTCCCCACGTACTTGTCACTACACCACGTACTTGTCACTACACCGTTCCCACGTACTTGTCACTACACCGTCCCCTCTTACTTGTCACTACACCACGTGTTATGACGCATGTTTGACTAGGGGGATGGGTGCGCATGATTGATGGTGCGGCCGTATATTGAACGAGTGAGTGTGTGACGCTGTACGCAAGAAAGTGGCGTTTTAGTGTGAGTTCGTTGTTGCCAGGGAAGAAGATTGAAGTTAGTCTTGTCCGTGTTATGTTAGAGTTAGGTTGTCTAGTTGTAGTATCGTTTGTTCAAGCTGTCCGATGTCCATTTCTTATTGTGCAATAAATAGAGTTAGTAACCGATGTCATTCTGTCAAATCCTTCGTAAGCGTTGATGTCGTCGTGTCCCAAGATATACTGTAGCATAGCTAAACATAATCAAATGGTAGTGATATAGAAAGATGGTATTGGATCAGGTAGTTGTACCCTCTCACTGCATAACTGTGGTACACATATAGAACTCAGCAGTTATAACACCACGTACTTGTCACTACACCACGTACTTGTCACTACACCACGTACTTGTCACTACACAAAGTACTTGTCACTACACCGTCCCCACGTACTTGTCACTACACCACGTACTTGTCACTACACCACGTACTTGTCACTACACCGTCCCCACGTACTTGTCACTACACCACGTACTTGTCACTACACCGTCCCCTCGTACTTGTCACTACACCACGTACTTGTCACTACACCACGTACTTGTCACTACACCACGTACTTGTCACTACACCACGTACTTGTCACTACACCACGTACTTGTCACTACACCACGTACTTGTCACTACACCGTCCCCACGTACTTGTCACTACACCGTCCCCAAGTACTTGTCACTACACCGTCTCCACAAGTACTTGTCACTACACCGTCCCCACGTATTTGTCACTACACCACGTACTTGTCACTACACCACTTACTTGTCACAACACTGTCCACAAGTACTTGTCACTACACCGTCCCCACGTACTTGTCACTACACCACGTACTTGTCACTACACCACGTACTTGTCACTACACTGTCCCCACGTACTTGTCACTACCCCACGTACTTGTCACTACACCGTCCCCACGTACTTGTCACTACACCGTCCCCACGTACTTGTCACTACACCACGTACTTGTCACTACACCGTCCCCACGTACTTGTCACTACACCACGTACTTGTCACTACACCGTCCCCACGTACTTGTCACTACACCGTCCCCACGTACTTGTCACTACACCACGTACTTGTCACTACACCGTCCCCACGTACTTATCAATACACCACGTACTTGTCACTACACCACGTACTTGTCACTACACCACGTACTTGTCACTACACCGTCCCCACGTACTTATCACTACACCACGTACTTGTCACTACACCGTCCCCAAGTACTTGTCACTACACCACGTACTTGTCACTACACCGTCCCCACGTACTTGTCACTACGCCGTCCCCACGTACTTGTCACTACACCGTCCCCACGTACTTGTCACTACACCGTCCCCACGTACTTGTCACTACAACACGTACTTGTCACTACAACTCGTACTTGTCACTACACCGTCCCCACGTACTTGTCACTATACCACGTACTTGTCACTACACCACGTACCTGTCACTACACCGTCCCCACGTACTTGTCACTACACCACGTACTTGTCACTACACCACGTACTTTTCACTACACCGTCCCCACGTACTTGTCACTACACCACGTACTTGTCACTACACCACGTACTTGTCACTACACCGTCCCCACGTACTTTTCACTACACCACGTACTTGTCACTACACCGTCCCCTCGTACTTGTCACTACACCACGTACTTGTCACTACACCACGTACTTGTCACTACACCACGTACTTGTCACTACACCACGTACTTGTCACTACACCACGTACTTGTCACTACACCGTCCCCACGTACTTGTCACTACACCACGTACTTGTCACTACACCACGTACTTGTCACTACACCACGTACTTGTCACTACACCACGTACTTGTCACTACACCGTCCCCACGTACTTGTCACTACACCACGTACTTGTCACTACACCACGTACTTGTCACTACACCGTCCCCACGTACTTGTCACTACACCACGTACTTGTCACTACACCACGTACTTGTCACTACACCGTCCCCACGTACTTGTCACTACACCGTCCACACGTACTTGTCACTACACCACGTACTTGTCACTACACCACGTACTTGTCACTACACCGTCCCCACGTACTTGTCACTACACCACGTACTTGTCACTACACCGTCCCCACGTACTTGTCACTACACCGTCCCCACGTACTTGTCACTACACTGTCCACACGTACTTGTCACTACACCACGTACTTGTCACTACACCACGTACTTGTCACTACACCGTCCCCACGTACTTGTCACTACACCACGTACTTGTCACTACACCGTCCCCACGTACTTGTCACTACACCGTCCCCACGTACTTGTCACTACACCGTCCACACGTACTTGTCACTACACCACGTACTTGTCACTACACCACGTACTTGTCACTACACCACGTACTTGTCACTACACCATCCCCACGTACTTGTCACTACACCGTCACCACGTACTTGTCACTACACCACGTACTTGTCACTACACCACGTACTTGTCACATTGAGGAAGATCCTGGCATCGTCCGACCCGGCATCGTTACTGGCCGTGCACGAGTACGTCCCCTCGTCCTCCTCTCTCACTTGTTCAATTCTCAACTTCCGGCCAAAATCTGTAATCTCGTAATGACCTTCACCTTTTTCAATGTCCTGATCTTTGTTGGTCTTCCATGTGATGTTCGGCGCTGGGCTTTAAAAGGTAATTAATTCAAAGAACATAAAAATCGTCCTATAATACATAGGAAACAAAATTAAAAAGTATGTTGGAGAATTGTGTGGTTACAAATCCACAAAGAAACGGTTTAACATAGCGACTTAGTTAGTAAGTTAGTAAAACACATTGTCCTCATCAATAGTCCAACATACTTTCAATTGTGTAACTGATTTACTAGCCCGAGCATGTAACCCTGACACTGACTTACTAGCCCGAGAAAAAACACTCCAGTTCCACCGTCTTCCCCAGTGTAGCTTTAACAACGGCGGGAACATATTCCTTTTTTGGGCGCATGTAATCTGTCAGGGAACATAACACGTAAGACATTCTTAACATTTGGCATAACTTAAGCACTTAGTACTTAGCATACCCTTTACCCTTGACATAACCATAATATTTAACAAAACTTAAAATGGCTTTACCAAACTAATGACCGTTATTTACGTAACTGTGTTTTATAATATTCACGTTGTGTTAAGTCAAGAAAATATTCACTCACCTGATGTTGACTCGAGGACATTGATCGAGACTTTGTTATAGAGAAAAATGATTGTAGCCCCTGGGTTATCAAACGGAGCAAGTCCACAGACATATGCTTGGTTATCGTTCTTGGTGACGTTTACAATACGTAGAGTACCTGTGGGGGGAAGAGCTTAAGGCTAGTACAACAGGGCGAGGAGTTGAGCTTAGTAGAATTTGACTCAGGTTAGGGTCTAAGTTTATCAAATTAATTGGGTTAATGAGTACAAGAACTCACCGTTGTTATCAATACCAATCCGGCTGTCGGGGTTAATTTGTGTTTTATCGGGGTGCTGGTACCATCTCTTGATGTAGTCTGGCACTGTGTGTGGTGTTTGGGCGCAGTAGGCATGGAAGGATTGGCCCTCAGACACATTGAAGGCCTCAACTTTACCGTCATCACCTGAAGTTTACAGCGTTCACGTTCACGTTCACGTACACGTACACGTACACGTACACGTACCTGTACACGTACACGTACACGTACACGTACACGTACACGTACACGTACACGTACACCTACACCTACACCTACACCTACACCTACACCTACACCTACACTACACCTACACCTATACATATATATATTTTAAAATAATAATTAATTAGGAACACTGATTAACATCCACATAATTAGCAAACCTATGATTGGATCCTTGGTCGCAAGGATTGGAAACTTGACAGAGACGGAAGTGCCGAATCTATTTTTAGCCCTACATTGGAACATCCCACTTTCCCTATCAGTGAAGCCTTGAAGCACAAGCGTGCCGTTGTTGAAAGCTTTCATGTAGTCGCCCACGTCGTCAATGGCGACGTCGTTTCTCAGCCACTCGTAACTGGGAAGGTTTTAAATTGTTAATTTTAATTTGTTAATTTTAATTTGTTAATTTTAATTTGTTAATTTTAAATTGTTAATTTTAAATTGTTAATTTTAAATTGTTAATTTTAATTTGTTAATTTTAATTTGTTAATTAAAACACCGATTGACGGTTTCTGTTTGAAGAAAAGTTTTTAATAAAGTAATTTCAATTAGATCCATTGCTTACGTAGGTGGCGGGTAGCCGTCTGCCTCACACTGTATGACGTCACCGCTGCCAGACTTTCTGACCCTCCTCTCTTGTGTGACAGGTTGTCTGATGTGGGGTGGGGACAGCTCTGGAGATAAACAACAACCACGTGACTGGCTTGTCAAAGAACGAGCTACAACAAATTTTCTTGTGATTTCTTCAAGTTTTTAAATGAACTCGCACAGCCCTAGTAGATCTGACTTTCGGTACTCTAGACAGAATTATTAATATTGGCCATATCTAATTGGCCACAATGACTAATTAAGTCCACGTTTTTTACTCTCAAACTTGCCAGGACTGCTCAAAGTATCATCGACCGCCTTTGACGTCACATCCGTTGTGATGTCTGTCTGGTCTGTCACCTCTAATGAGGTCAAGGACACGTGACCTGTGCCACTTGGTGACGTCATGTGCTCGGCGTCTGCTGGTGCAGCTCCATCAGTCACGTCAGCGCCACTGTCGTCTGCCAGATGTCGATCAGTGCTCAGCAGCTCACCAGTACTCAGCATTACATCAGCAGGAGGCTCTGGAGAGAAAAGATTTGTTGTACAACCTGCTGCGGGTTGTCTTAAGCTCTGGAGAGAAAAGATTTGTTGTACAACCTGCTACGGGTTGTCTTAAGCTCTAGACATCCCTAATGTCTGGACGAAATAGCCAAAATAACTTTATAATGGAAGGGGGAGGGGGGAGGAGTGGTTGGAGAGGGGAGGGGAGGGGGGTACAAAACAGGGAAGCCTTTATACAGGAAAACCACCAGGACTGAATTAGATGCCGCCAATACCATTTCTATTCAACACACATTGCTATTTAAAATGTGCACAAATTTAAAGTTGCGTTGCGAAAACTTAGAGAAGCAGAAAATACCTAGGGTAAACTGGAGGGAATACTGGTAGAGTTCTAAAGATTGATTGGTTTGCAGTTGCATGTTTGTATTGTTGTTTGAACCAATCAGTGATGAGGTATGTGGTCACGTGTTGTTTGGGCCAATCAATGATGAGGTATGTGGTCAAGTGTTGTTTGGGCCAATCAATGATGAGGTATGTGGTCACGTGTTGTTTGGCCGTTAAGATTAGGTCAATGTCTACTGAAATATATTATTATGTCACAAACTTCAATTTTCAATAATTTCCAATGTATCTTTACATTTATTTGTATCGTGTCAATTAAAATTAGACAGGGAAGTGATATTGTTGGTGACTTTGACTGTAACCTCTAGTGCCAAGTTCACAAGTGCTTCATCTACTTCAGCACTGTGTGTAGATCCAACAAAATTTTGGTGAGTCACATTCTCTTGTAAACAAGTTTTGAGATTATCTGTGACTGGTTGGGAATTAATGAGTAATTAGTGAGCTCCTAATTTGGTCAAGCCACTTATTCCATCGCTTACGTCATAAATACCATACACAAATCAGTTAAGTCTCATACAGCTTCAACTTAAGCTATGAGTTTTTCGAAACAATCATGAATTAAATCTAACACTTGCCCTTTGTATTAGAAGTATAAAGTGGAACAGAGAATAATCAAAACATCGATTGTTAAATAAGGAAGCTAAGTTTTATTAAAAGATTTTTGTAAAACCTAGCGGAATAATTTCTTTATTCCGATTAGATAGATGAAATGCTAAAAAATTGTTCCAGCGAAATTAAACCCACCCTTCAATGTGGCTAAACTTGCCAAAAACAGTTTTATGTGTCGGCTTTAAATGTGTCTTAACTTAAACATTAAAATAATGAAAATGATGATATTTCAAATTAAAGATAAAAGAGTAAGGACTTGAGAGTAAGGACATGAGAGTAAGGACATGAAATTCAGGACATACGAGTAAGGACATGAGAGTAAGGACATGAGAGTAAGGACATGAGAGTAAAGACATGAGAGTAAGGACATGAGAGTAAGGACATGAGAGTAAGGACATGAGAGTAAGGACATGAGAGTAAAGACATGAGAGTAAGGACATGAGAGTAAGGACATGAGAGTAAGGACATGAGAGTAAGGACATGGTAAGGACATGAGAGTAAAGGACATGCGAGTAAGGACATGGTAAGGACATGGTAAGGACATGAGAGAAAGGACATGAGAGTAAAGGACATGCGAGTAAGGACATGAGAGTAAGGACATGAGATTAAGGACATGGTAAGGACATGAGAGTAAGGACATGAGAGTAAGGACATGAGATTAAGGACATGGTAAGGACATGAGAGTAAGGACATGAGAGTAAGGACATGAGAGTAAGGACTTGAAAGTAAGGACATGAGAGTAACGACATGAGAGTAAGGACATGGTAAGGACATGAGAGTAAGGACATGAGAGTAAGGACATGGTAAGGACATGAGAGTAAGGACATGGTAAGGACATGAGAGTAAGGACATGAGAGTAAAGGACATGCGAGTAAGGACATGAGAGTAAGGACATGAGAGTAAGGACATGGTAAGGACATGAGAGTAAGGACATGAGAGAAAGGACATGAGAGTAAAGGACATGCGAGTAAGGACATGGTAAGGACATGAGAGTAAGGACATGAGAGTAAGGACATGGTAAGGACATGAGAGTAAAGGACATGCGAGTAAGGACATGAGAGTAAGGACATGAGAGTAAGGACATGGTAAGGACATGAGAGTAAGGACATGAGAGAAAGGACATGAGAGTAAAGGACATGCGAGTAAGGACATGAGAGTAAGGACATGAGATTAAGGACATGGTAAGGACATGAGAGTAAGGACATGAGAGAAAGGACATGAGATTAAGGACATGGTAAGGACATGAGAGTAAGGACATGAGAGTAAGGACATGAGAGTAAGGACTTGAGAGTAAGGACATGAGAGTTAGGACATGAGAGTAACGACATGAGAGTAACGACATGGTAAGGACATGAAAGTAAGGACATGAGAGTAAGGACATGGCAAGGACATGAGAGTAAGGACGTGAGAGTAAGGACATGGTAAGGACATGAGAGTAACGACATGAGAGTAACGACATGTTAAGGACATGAAAGTAAGGACATGAGAGTAAGGACATGGCAAGGACATGAGAGTAAGGACATGAGAGTAAATACATGAGAGTAAGGACATGAGAGTAAGGACATGAGAGTAAGGACATGGTAAGGACATGAGAGTAAGGACATGAGAGTAAGGACATAAGAGTAAGGACATGGTAAGGACATGAGAGTAAAGACATGAGAGTAAGGACATACGAGTAAGGACATGGTAAGGACATGAGAGTAAGGACATGAGAGTAAGGACATGAGAGTTAGGACATGAGAGTAACGACATGAGAGTAAGGACATGAGAGTTAGGACATGAGAGTAACGACGTGAGAGTAAGGACATGGCAAGGACATGAGAGTAAGGACATGAGAGTAAGGACATGGTAAGGACATGAGAGTAAGGACACGAGAGTAAGGACATAACAGTAAGGTCATGGTAAGGACATGAGAGTAAGGACATGGTAAGGACATGAGAGTAAGGACATGAGAGTAAGGACATGAGAGTAAGGACATGAGAGTAATGACATGAGAGTAAGGACATGAGAGTAAGGACATGAAAGTAACGACATGAGATTAAGGACATAAGAGAGGACATGAGATTGAGGACATGAGAGTAAGGACATGAGAGTAAGGACATGAGACTAAGGACATGAGGGTAAGGACATGAGAGTAAGGACATGAGAGTAAGGACATGTTAAGGACATGAGAGTAAGGACATGAGAGTAAGGACATGAGAGTAAGGACATGAGAGTAAAGGACATGAGAGTAAGGACATGAGAGTAAGGACATGAGAGTAAGGACATGAGAGTAAGGACATCAGAGTTAGGACATGAGAGTAAGGACATGAGAGTAAAGGACATGAGAGTAAGGACATGAGAGTAAGGACATCAGAGTAAAGGACATGAGAGTAAGGACATGAGAGTAAGGACATGAGAGTAAGGACATGAGAGTAACGACATGGTAAGGACATGAGAGTAAGGACATGAGATTAAGGACATGAGATTAAGGACATGGTAAGGACATGAGATTAAGGACATGAGAGTAAGGACATGGTAAGGACATGAGAGTAAGGACATGAGATTAAGGACATGAGAGTAAGGACATGAGAGTAACGGCATGGTAAGAACATGAGAGTAATGACATGAAAGTAAGGACATGAATGTCAAGACATACGAATTAGGACATGAGAGTAAGGACATGAGAGTAATGACATGGTAAGGACATGAGAGTAAGGACATGAAAGTAACGACATGAGATTAAGGACATGAGAGAGGACATGAGATTGAGGACATGAGAGTAAGGACATGAGAGGAAGGACATGAGACTAAGGACATGAGAGTAAGGACATGAGAGTAAGGACATGAGAGTAAGGACATGGTAAGGACATGAGAGTAAGGACATGAGAGTAAAGACATGAGAGTAAGGACATGAGAGTAAAGGACATGAGAGTAAGGACATGAGAGTAAGGACATGAGAGTAAGGACATGAGAGTAAGGACATCAGAGTAAGGACATGAGAGTAAGGACATGAGAGTAAAGGACATGAGAGTAAGGACATCAGAGTAAGGACATCAGAGTAAAGGACATGAGAGTAAGGACATGGTAAGGGCATGAGAGTAAGGACATGCGAGTAAGGACATGAGAGTAAGGACATGAGAGTAAGGACATGAGAGTAAGGACATGAGAGTAACGACATGGTAAGGACATGAGAGTAAGGACATGAGATTAAGGACATGAGATTAAGGACATGGTAAGGACATGAGAGTAAGGACATGAGAGTAAGGACATGGTAAGGACATGAGAGTAAGGACATGAGATTAAGGACATGAGAGTAAGGACATGAGAGTAAGGACATGAAAGTAAGGACATGAATGTCAAGACATACGAATAAGGACATGAGATTAAGGACATGAGAGTAAGAACATGAGAGATTCGGTGGGTCGTAAATCGTGTAGCTACTACACTTAAACAGTTGACCTACAGCAGGGGTCTCCAAACTTTTCAGTCCGAGGGTCGCATTAACTATCAAATTTCAGTTCGGGGGCCAGTTTCTTCCAGACATGTCTTTGATTTTTCTGGGCAAAGTTCCTCAGCCATCAACAAACGATTTTTCCTTTGTCGAAAAGATCTCCGCGGGCCGGATGAGAGGACTTTGCGGGCCACATCCGGCCCGCGGGCCGTAGTTTGGAAATCCCTGACCTACAGCAACGGGCCAGCACCGATCTCATTTCCGACATCTGGTCTTAGCTGAGACCACCTCCCACCCTCACCCCAGATCACCACATGCACATACCTCGAGTTTTGACGGATTTTTTAGCTGACTGGAACTTGGGAGTTTTAGCTCAGATTTGAAACTGGTTATAACTGTAGAGTTTTAGCTCAGATTTGAAACGGATTATAACTGTAGAGTTTTAGCTCAGATTTGAAACTGGTTATAACTGTAGAGTTTTAGCTCAGATTTGAAACTGGTTATAACTGTAGAGTTTTAGCTCAGATTTGAGATTGGTTATAACTGTAGAGTTTTAGCTCAGATTTGAAACTGGTTATAACTGTAGAGTTTTAGCTCAGATTTGAAACTGGTTATAACTGTAGAGTTTTAGCTCAGATTTGAGATTGGTTATAACTGTAGAGTTTTAGCTCAGATTTGAGATTGGACACAACAAAAGAAATTTGAAACCTCCATGACAGAACATCCAACATTCAATTAATAATTTACTCCTAAGAGAGATTCTAACTAATTGGTTTAATTTGAACTTTTTCAAAAAAAAAAATTCGATGTATGTTAAAATGTAGGTTCAGACATTTAATTTATCCGGACTTACCTGTAGAAACTATCCTGGCATCGGCTGCCCAGAAGCAAGAATACAACAGCAACACCAACACGTGCCGGTTCATCTTTTAGCTGAGTCGGCTCAAGCAGACACAATTTAAAAAAAAACTTTTTGAGTTTATTGTTAGAACTGAGGAAAGTATTTAAAGTAATCGGGGTTGAAGAGAAACTTGTATTGAACTGATGTTGTACAGTTCTTGTTCAGCTCTTCAAATCACTTGAACTTTTCTTGTCGTATGACCAACCAACAAGTACGCCCTGTGTCTAACCTTCTCCGATCGCACCCATCTACAACACTTAGCCCTGTTCCAACCATGATCCTATGTCTTGGTGTGTGATCGTTTATTGCTCATCCACTTAAAACTTTAATCAAACCATTAATTCGACGCGATTCTAACAGAAAGCGATGCCATTGATTGTTTATCTTAAGGCCTTGCCTGGTAATGTATCAGGGGCGTTACTAGGGCGAGTGACATCCGGTTCTGTAACACGCATTCCCCCTCCCCCGTCCAAACACTATGTATAAATATTGTATACTCAAACTATAGGTATTTTGGTGTCACCCCCATCCTTATCACGTAGAGTGCCACTCTGTGCCTTATCATGTATGTACCTTGAATAAAGTAGCACAATCACTTTAAAAAAACAGACATCCTGATTACATTTTTATATTTAGCTGTAGAATAATCCTTAAGATGGTGTCACACATTGCGGTTCGAACCCCCCCCCCCCCCCCCCAACCCACATCCCCATCCTGTCTATCAAGGTTACAGTGTTGGGGTTCTTGATGCATCATTAGTCTGTGTGTGGGGAGTCATTAGGTCTGTGTGTATGGGGAGTCAATGATTGGTCATCAGGTTTGTGTGTGGGAAATCATCGGGTCTGTGTGTGGGGAATCAATGATTGGTCATCAGGTCTGTGTGTGGGGGAGTCATTAGGTCTGTGTGGGGGAGTCATTAGGTCTGTGTGTGGGGAGTCATCAGGTTTGTGTGTGGGGAGAGTCATTAGGTCTGTGTGTGTGGGGAGTCAATGATTGGTCATCAGGTCTGTGTGTGGGGGAGTCATTAGGTCTGTGTGTGGGGGAGTCATCAGGCCTGTGTGTGGGGAGTCATTAGGTCTGTGTGTGTGGAGTCATCAGGTCTGTGTGTGGGGAGTCATCAGGTCTGTGTGTGGGGAGTCATCAGGCCTGTGTGTGGGGAGTCATTAGGTCTGTGTGTGGGGGAGTCATTAGGTCTGTGTGTGGGGAGTCATCAGGTCTGTGTGTGGGGAGTCATCAGGCCTGTGTGTGGGGAGTCATTAGGTCTGTGTGTGGGGGAGTCATTAGGTCTGTGTGTGGGGGAGTCATTAGGTCTGTGTGTGTGGAGTCATCAGGTCTGTGTGTGGGGAGTCATTAGGTCTGTGTGTGGGGGAGTCATTAGGTCTGTGTGTGGGGAGTCATTAGGTCTGTGTGGGAAGTCATTACGTCTGTGTGTGGGGAGTCATTAGGTCTGTTTGTGTGGGGAGTCATCAGGTCTGTGTGTGGGGAGTCATCAGGTCTGTGTGTGGGGAGTCATCAGGTCTGTGTGTGGGGAGTCATCAGGTCTGTGTGTGGGGAGTCATCAGGTCTGTGTGTGTGGAGAGTCATTAGGTCTGTGTGTGGGGAGTCATTAGGTCTGTGTGTGTGGGGAGTCATTAGGTCTGTGTGTGTGGAGAGTCATCAGGTCTGTGTGTGGGGAGAGTCATTAGGTCTGTGTGTGTGGGGAGTCAATGATTGGTCATCAGGTCTGTGTGTGGGGAGTCATTAGGTCTGTGTGTGGGGGAGTCATTAGGTCTGTGTGTGGGGGAGTCATTAGGTCTGTGTGTGTGGAGTCATCAGGTCTGTGTGTGGGGAGTCATTAGGTCTGTGTGTGGGGAGTCATCAGGTCTGTGTGTGGGGAGTCATCAGGTCTGTGTGTGTGGGGAGTCATTAGGTCTGTGTGTGGGGAGTCATTAGGTCTGTTTGTGTGGGGAGTCATCAGGTCTGTGTGTGGGGAGTCATTAGGTCTGTTTGTGGGGAGTCATTAGGTCTGTGTGTGGGGAGTCATCAGGTCTGTGTGTGGGGGAGTCATTAGGTCTGTGTGTGGGGGAGTCATTAGGTCTGTGTGTGTGGAGTCATCAGGTCTGTGTGTGGGGAGTCATTAGGTCTGTGTGTGGGGAGTCATTAGGTCTGTGTGTGGGGGAGTCATTAGGTCTGTGTGTGTGGAGTCATCAGGTCTGTGTGTGGGGAGTCATTAGGTCTGTGTGTGGGGGAGTCATTAGGTCTGTGTGTGGGGGAGTCATTAGGTCTGTGTGTGGGGGAGTCATTAGGTCTGTGTGTGGGGGAGTCATTAGGTCTGTGTGTGTGGAGTCATCAGGTCTGTGTGTGGGGAGTCATTAGGTCTGTGTGTGGGGGAGTCATTAGGTCTGTGTGTGGGGGAGTCATTAGGTCTGTGTGTGGGGGAGTCATTAGGTCTGTGTGTGGGGGAGTCATTAGGTCTGTGTGTGTGGAGTCATCAGGTCTGTGTGTGGGGAGTCATTAGGTCTGTGTGTGGGGGAGTCATTAGGTCTGTGTGTGGGGGAGTCATTAGGTCTGTGTGTGTGGAGTCATCAGGTCTGTGTGTGGGGAGTCATTAGGTCTGTGTGTGGGGGAGTCATTAGGTCTGTGTGTGTGGAGTCATCAGGTCTGTGTGTGGGGAGTCATTAGGTCTGTGTGTGGGGAGTCATCAGGTCTGTGTGTGGGGAGTCATTAGGTCTGTGTGTGGGGAGTCATCAGGTCTGTGTGTGGGGGAGTCATTAGGTCTGTGTTGGGGAGTCATTAGGTAGTGTGTGGGGAGTCATTAGGTCTTTGTGTGGGGAGTCATTAGGTCTTTGTGTGGGGAGTCATTAGGTCTGTGTGTGGGGAGTCATCAGGTCTGTGTGTGGGGAGTCATCAGGTCTGTGTGTGGGGAGTCATTAGGTCTGTGTGTGGGGGAGTCATTAGGTCTGTTTGTGTGGGGAGTCATCAGGTCTGTGTGTGGGGAGTCATTAGGTCTGTGTGGGGAGTCATTAGGTCTGTGTGTGGGGAGTCATTAGGTCTGTGTGTGGGGAGTCATCAGGTCTGTGTGTGGGGGAGTCATTAGGTCTGTGTGGGGAGTCATCAGGTTTATGTGTGGGGGAGTCATTAGGTCTGTGTGGGGAGTCATTAGGTCTGTGTGTGGGGAGTCATTAGGTCTGTGTGTGGGGGAGTCATTAGGTCTGTGTGTGGGGAGTCATTAGGTCTGTGTGTGGGGAGTCATCAGGTCTGTGTGTGGGGAGTCATTAGGTCTGTGTGGGGAGTCATCAGGTTTATGTGTGGGGGAGTCATTAGGTCTGTGTGGGGAGTCATTAGGTCTGTGTGTGGGGAGTCATTAGGTCTGTGTGTGGGGAGTCATCAGGTCTGTGTGTGGGGAGTCATCAGGTCTGTGTGTGGGGGAGTCATTAGGTCTGTGTGTGGGGGAGTCATTAGGTCTGTTTGGGGAGTCATTAGGTCTGTGTGTGGGGAGTCATCAGGTCTGTGTGGGGAGTCATTAGGTCTGTGTGGGAAGTCATTAGGTCTGTGTGTGGGGAGTCATCAGGTCTGTGTGTGGGGAGTCATTAGGTCTGTGTGTGGGGAGTCATTAGGTCTGTGTGGGAAGTCATTAGGTCTGTGTGTGGGGAGTCATCAGGTCTGTGTGTGGGGAGTCAATGATTGGTCATCAGGTCTATGTGTGGGGAGTCAATGATTGGTGACGTCAAGTTTGAGATCACGTGACTTGCACTTTTGTACAATGCACATACTACATGCAGGTAGCACAACCATAATGTAAGTCTAATGTTTGTCAAAACGCCAGTGTAAGTCTAACCCATCAACGTAATGTAAATGCTACATTATTGCATTATACCTGCCTGCTATCGGAAAAATTTTCGTTAGATAACAAAACCCTTCAAGTTTACTTAAAGTAACTTAAACGGAAAATCATTGGCCTACTTAACCAGGCTAATTAACCAGGCTAATTAACCAGGCTAATTAAATCCAGTCTATTGCTTTCACAGAACAGATCACAATGACTCGTGTTCTTGACAGGCTTGTTATTGAACTCTGTGATTGACAAAACAGCATTGACTGTGATAAACAGGTGGGTAGCACACCAGCACAAGTGATCCAAATGTGGCTAGCACACCAGCACAAGTGATCCAAATGTGGGTAGCACACCAACACAAGTGATCCAAATGTGGGTAGCACACCAGCACAAGTGATCCAAATGTGGGTAGCACACCAGCACAAGTGATCCAAATGTGGGTAGCACACCAGCACAAGTGATTCAAATGTGGGTAGCACACCAGCACAAGTGATCCAAATGTGGGTAGCACACCAGCACAAGTGATCCAAATGTGGGTAGCACGCCAACGTTTCAGAAAGACAATTCACCAAAGATAAGGAATCTTCTAGTCTGTCCTATAAAAAGGACATTTTATTTACCAGCATTTGCTGCTTTTGACTTTGTACGTGAATACAGGTGGTGGAATGAGGAATTTTTCAAAAAGTTCTCGAGTGGGTAGCGGCCGTTACCCACACACGCAAACAATCAAGCTTCGACCAAAGTTCCAATTATTCAAAGAAAAATTTAGAGGCATGACAGTAAACTTGTTACAATATTTATTTAATTATAATTAATGCGGAGAAATCCATGATCGAATATAGCCGAAAATTAAGTTTTGAGAACAAGTTTGTTTCAGTTGCTGAAAAAGTTTGAATTTTTTTTTTCTTCTAACATTACTGACAAGCAAGTTAAGTGTCACGCTGACCAATGTTGGGCTGGATCAAAATTCGATCTCATCCCAATCTGAAATAGTATATATATAGGCCCTATATATATATATATATATATATATATATATATATATAAACATATGTATTTCTCTCTCTCTCTCTCTCTCTCTCTCTCTATATATATATATATATATATATATATATATATATATATATATATATATATATATATATATATATATATATATATATATGCATATATGCTTTATTAAGGTACATTAAATAAGGACATAATATACATTACCAACGACCTTGAGAAAACCGTCAAAAAAGATGTATCCTTCACTGTTGCTGATGTTACACTGGAAGCAGGCGGTGTCTGTAGACTTGTTCAGGTTCCTGATGGTCAGCTCGGTGCCACATTCACCGAAACTGTACCTGGTTTTGTCCGGGAAGTTGTCTGTTAAAGAAGTTCATTGGTTCTATTGCCAGTAATGTTGTTGTAAGATGAGGAGGACGCATCATGGGGCGGGGTGGTCGAACGGTAGGTTTAGAGATACACGACTAAATATGAAAGGTCGAATCAAATCTAACACAGAAACAACACACACTCACAGGATAACAACACACACACATACACCTCACCCACACACACCTCACCCACACACACCTCCACACACACCTCACCCACACACACCTCACCCACACACACCTCCACACACACCTCACCCACACACACCTCACCCACACACACCTCACCTTACCCACACACACCTCACCTCACCCACACACACCTCACCCACACACACACACCTCACCCACACACACCTCACCCACACACACCTCACCCACACACACCTCACCCACACACACCTCACCTTACCCACACACACCTCACCTCACCCACACACACCTCACCCACACACACCTCACCCACACACACCTCACCCACACACACCTCACCTTACCCACACACACCTCACCTCACCCACACACACCTCACCCACACACACCTCACCCACACACACCTCACCCACACACACCTCACCTCACCCACACACACCTCACCCACACACACCTCACCCACACACACCTCACCCACACACACCTCACCCACACACGCCTCACCCACACACACCTCACCCACACACACCTCTCACACACCTCACCCACACACGCCTCACCTTACCCACACACACCTCACCTCACCCACACACACCTCACCCACACACACCTCACCCACACACACCTCACCCACACACACCTCACCTCACCCACACACACCTCACCCACACACACCTCACCCACACACACCTCACCCACACACACCTCACCCACACACGCCTCACCCACACACACCTCACCCACACACACCTCACCCACACACACCTCACCCACACACACCTCACCCACACACACCTCACCCACACACACCTCACCCACACACACCTCACCCACACACACCTCACCCACACACACCTCTCACACACCTCACCCACACACACCTCACCCACACACGCCTCACCCACACACACCTCACCCACACACACCTCACCCACACACACCTCACCTTACCCACACACGCCTCGCCCACACACACCTCACCTCACCCACACACACCTCACCCACACACCTCACCCACACACACCTCATCCACACACACCTCACTCACACTCACACACACACCTCACCCACACACACCTCACCCACACACCTCACCCACACCCCCACACCTCACCAACACACACCTCACCCACACACCTCACCCACACCCCCACACCTCACCAACACACACCTCACCCACACACCTCACCCACACCCCCACACCTCACCCACACACCTTACCCACACCTTACACACCCCACACACCTATAGTGAGCAGCTCCCCATTCCTGTACCACACAGGTGGCTCCAGGTTCTCTCCCTCCATGGCCCTGGCCCAACATTTCAATGTGGCCATCTGGCCAGAAAGTTTGTATAACTTTTCCAGTGAAGTGTCTGGCGTTGTTAACATCAGAGGTGGACCTGTGATAAAAAGGTTAACATTACAGGTGCACCTGTTAAAAAGTAAGCATTAGAGGTGCACCTGTCAAAAGTTAACATTGGGGGTGCACGTACTTGTCACTGCACCGTCCCCAAGTACTTGTCACTACACCGTCCCCACGTACTTGTCACTACACCACGTACTTGTCACTACACCACGTACTTGTCACTACACCACGTACTTGTCACTACACCATCCCCACGTACTTGTCACTACACCGTCCTCACGTACTTGTCACTACACCACGTACTTGTCACTACACCACGTACTTGTCACTACACCGTCCCCACGTACTTGTCACTACACCGTCCCCACGTACTTGTCAATACAACACGTACTTGTCACTACACCACGTACTTGTCACTACACCGTCCCCACGTACTTGTCACTACACCGTCCCCACGTACTTGTCACTACACCGTCCCCACGTACTTGTCACTACACCGTCCCCACCTACTTGTCACTACACCGTCCCCACGTACTTGTCACTACACCGTCCCCACGTACTTGTCACTACACCGTCCCCACCTACTTGTCACTACACCGTCCCCACGTACTTGTCACTACACCACGTACTTGTCACTACACCGTCCCCACCTACTTGTCACTACACCGTCCCCACGTACTTGTCACTACACCACGTACTTGTCACTACACCGTCCCCACCTACTTGTCACTACACCGTCCCCACGTACTTGTCACTACACCACGTACTTGTCACTACACCGTCCCCACCTACTTGTCACTACACCGTCCCCACGTACTTGTCACTACACCGTCCCCACGTACTTGTCACTACACCACGTACTTGTCACTACACCACGTACTTGTCACTACACCACGTACTTGTCACTACACCGTCCTCACGTACTTGTCACTACACCACGTACTTGTCACTACACCACGTACTTGTCACTACACCGTCCCCACGTACTTGTCACTACACCGTCCCCACGTACGTGTCACTACACCGTCCCCACGTACTTGTCACTACACCACGTACTTGTCACTACACCGTCCCCACCTACTTGTCACTACACCGTCCCCACGTACTTGTCACTACACCGTCCCCACGTACTTGTCACTACATCGTCCCCACGTACTTGTCACTACACCACTTACTTGTCACTACACCGTCCCCACGTACTTGTCACTACACCACGTACTTGTCACTACACCGTCCCCACGTACTTGTCACTACACCACGTACTTGTCACTACACCACGTACTTGTCACTACACCGTCCCCACGTACTTGTCACTACACCGTCCCCACGTACGTGTCACTACACCGTCCCCACGTACTTGTCACTACACCACGTACTTGTCACTACACCGTCCCCACCTACTTGTCACTACACCGTCCCCACGTACTTGTCACTACACCGTCCCCACGTACTTGTCACTACATCGTCCCCACGTACTTGTCACTACACCACTTACTTGTCACTACACCGTCCCCACGTACTTGTCACTACACCACGTACTTGTCACTACACCGTCCCCACGTACTTGTCACTACACCACGTACTTGTCACTACACCACGTACTTGTCACTACACCGTCCCCACGTACTTGTCACTACACCACGTACTTGTCACTACACCACGTACTTGTCACTACACCGTCCCCACGTACTTGTCACTACACCGTCCCCACGTACTTGTCACTACACCGTCCCCACGTACTTGTCACTACACCACGTACTTGTCACTACACCACGTACTTGTCACTACACCGTCCCCACGTACTTGTCACTACACCACGTACTTGTCACTACACCACGTACTTGTCACTACACCACGTACTTGTCACTACACCACGTACTTGTCACTACACCGTCCCCACGTACTTGTCACTACACCACGTACTTGTCACTACACCACGTACTTGTCACTACACCACGTACTTGTCACTACACCACGTACTTGTCACTACACCACGTACTTGTCACTACACCGTCCTCACGTACTTGTCACTACACCACGTACTTGTCACTACACCACGTACTTGTCACTACACCGTCCCCACGTACTTGTCACTACACCGTCCCCACGTACTTGTCACTACACCGTCCCCACGTACTTGTCAATACAACACGTACTTGTCACTACACCGTCCCCACGTACTTGTCACTACACCGTCCCCACCTACTTGTCACTACACCGTCCCCACGTACTTGTCACTACACCGTCCCCACGTACTTGTCACTACACCGTCCCCACGTACTTGTCACTACACCGTCCCCACGTACTTGTCACTACACCGTCCCCACGTACTTGTCACTACACCACGTACTTGTCACTACACCACGTACTTGTCACTACACCACGTACTTGTCACTACACCACGTACTTGTCACTACACCGTCCCCACGTACTTGTCAATACAACACGTACTTGTCACTACACCACGTACTTTTCACTACACCATGTACTTGTCACTACACCACGTACTTGTCACTACACCACGTACTTGTCACTACACCGTCCCCACGTACTTGTCACTACACTGTCCCCACGTACTTGTCACTACACCACGTACTTGTCACTACACCGTCCCCACGTACTTGTCACTACACCGTCCCCACGTACTTGTCACTACACCACGTACTTGTCACTACACCGTCCCCACGTACTTGTCACTACACCGTCCCCACGTACTTGTCACTACACCGTCCTCACGTACTTGTCACTACACAGTCCCCACTTGTCACTACACCGTCCCCACGTACTTGTCACTACACCGTCCCCACGTACTTGTCACTACACCACGTACTTGTCACTACACCGTCCCCACGTACTTGTCACTACACCGTCCCCACGTACTTGTCACTACACCACGTACTTGTCACTACACCACGTACTTGTCACTACACCACCTACTTGTGACATTGAGGAAGATCTTGGCATCGTCCGACCCGGCACCGTTCCTGGCCGTGCATGAGTACGTCCCCTCGTCCTCCTCTCTCACCTGTTCAATTCGCAACTTCCGGCCGAAATCGTCGATGACGTAATGACCGTGACCTTCCTGGATGATCTGTTGTTGCTTGTCCTTCCACGTGATCACAGGTTCTTGGCTGGGGGGTCAAGGTCACAACAATCAGTGAAGGTTACAACAATCACTGACGTCACAAAAATTAGTGACGTCAAACCATATTAAATGTATGCAACTAAAGGAAACAAACACCTTGTACCTGGTTCTTCAAATAAATTCTCTTTTAATTTGTTTTCTACTCATAATAAATAGCAATAAACAGAATAGTAGAAAACAATTTTCAAATTATTTGTTTTCTACTCTTATCTCACTTTTTATGTTCGGGTAAACATTGTTTAGGTTTAGGAAAACATTGTTTAGGTTTAGGAAAACATTGTTTAGATTTAGATAAACATAGTTTAGGTTTAGGAAAACATTGTTTAGGTTTAGATAAACATTATTAAGATTTAGATAAACATTGTTTAGGTTTAGATAAACAATGTTAAGATTTAGATCAACATTGTTTAGGTTTAGATAAACAATGTTAAGATTTAGATCAACATTGTTTAGGTTTAAGGCGATTATAAATGAACAGTTTCAAGATTGAGAAAGGCTGGACTTACTAGCCAGAGAAAAAACATTCTAGAATGGCCGACATTCCAAATGTGGCTTTCACGACACTAGGCGCGTATTCCTTTCTGGGTTTCATGAAGCCTGTAGGAGAGGGGGGGGGAGACTGGATTAGTTCCAGCAATAATTTTCAAAACTTAACGTACTGATTATTCTGTCAGTGACATCCAGAGCTTCTTCCAGGCATCTCTTCGGGGGGGGGGGGGGGGGGGGGGCGAAAAAATTCTACCCCCCCCCCCGAACGAAATTAAATGTATATAATTCATATAGAAAATATATACTTTTAACAGTATCCGCCCCCCCCCCCCCCGAAAATTTTAAGTGCCCCCCCCCCCCCCGGAGAAAAAAGTCTGGAAGAAACACTGGTGACATCATTTATTTAACGTACTAAACTCTCTGTCAGTGACTGTCACTGTCACTGTGTCCACGATATAAATGATACTATCACTGTAGATGTATGGGAACACTCCACACTGGTATTTAGCTGAATCACTCCTGAAGGCATACGCCATACGTAGAGTACCTGTTCGATGAAAGGCGACTGTTCGATGAAAGGCGATCAATACAATACTTAGTGCTTTTGAACAGAAATCGACGAGTCCAAAAAGTTAAAGAGCTGTACTTGCCGTTGGTATCAATGCCGACACGACTGGAGGAACTCACTTGGTATTTTTTAACGTCCACGTACCAGTATTTCCTGACACCTTGAGAATTCTCAGGCGCATGCGCGCAGTATAAGTGGAACGGTTGGCCCTGTGACACCGTTACGCTGTCTTCTTTGTTTTCTTTTTTGTTACCTTTACGATATACATATATATATATATATATATATATATATATATATATATATATATATATATATATATATATATATATATATATATATATATATATATATATATATATATATTCGTATTAATGAAACTACTGCCAAAGTCAAAAGCCCGCCCAACCTACCTAAATCAATGTTTGCAAGTATTGGAACTTTGACCGACACTGAAGTGCCAAAACTATTTTTAGCCCGACACTGGAACATCCCACCGTCTCTGTAGGAGAAGTCTTTAAACACCAGCGTGCCATTGGTGAAGGCCTTCAGGTAATCCCCCTTGTCGTCAATGGCAACGTCGTTTCTGAACCACTGGTACCTGGAGAGGAAATCTACCAGTCTGTATTTTAAAAGTCATCACAGAATGTACACGTCAGTTTTTGTGACGTAGAAACTACACGAGCTATGTTGGCAGGTTGTATGACGTACATCTGTCTTGCTATACCTTTCAGACTAGACGCTTTCTGGGTGGTCAAGTCAAATGACCACATGCTATCTGGGGGGGGGGGGGGGGGCAAGTCAAATGACCACATGCTATCTGGGAGGGCAAGTCAAATGACCACACGCTATCTAAGGAGGGGGGGGGGGCAAGTCTAATGACCACATGCTATCTGGGGGGGGGCAAGTCAAATGACCACATTCTATCTGGGTGGGGGGGGGGCAAGTCAAATGACCACATGCTATCTGTCACATCCCTGGGACCAAGCTAAGGTCAGTCTAACCTAATACACGGGTTTTTGTGTGCAGAGAAATAGTAAAAAAGCAATGAGAGATAGCTAGTACGTTTTCACAAATCACCATTTTGTTTTAATATAGCTTGGTAATAAATTAATCTTTGGTATTTGTGTAATTGAACTACGGGTAATTGACTAGCAGATGGGACATTACATTTAGAGAATAAAGCTTTAAAAAGTCATGAACATCAAACTTACGTGGGTGCTGGGCTACCGTCTGCCTCACACTGAAAGACCGCCCCTTTCCCTTCTTTCAACAGATTTCTGTCTTGTGAGTCAGGTCTCTTGATGTAGGGCGGGCTCTGGCCCGGGGAACAACCTGTTTTGGTGGGGGGTGGGGGGGGAGAAAGATGTTTTTAAGTTAACTCATTGGGGGAGCCGGACGTTTTCCCGAAAGACACTTGCCCGAATGCCGTTTGCCCGAAGGCCGATTTCCCGAATGGGCAAACGGCATTCGGGCAAGTGTCTTTCGGGATTTTGTCGTAGACCCACTCATTGGGTATACCTTCATAGTAGCGGAGCTGTAACTGTACCGTGGGTATCCCCCCAGTGACTTCTATATCATGGATACTTCGTATACCCTACCCATCAGACACCACTAGAAATTATTATGTTAGTTAAACTTATACGTCATCATATCAAATAAATGTTCAGAAACAAAATTAGATATAGAAAAATATTTGACTGAATCCCCCCCCCCCCCCCCCCCTCATGGGATCAGCTGATTTACAGTGAGATTAAGGCTAGGGAACACGTGTATGGATTACATACTGCAGCTGTAGGGATTAGAGGCTACAATGTAAATCTCTGTGGACAAAAGTTACAATGTTAACCTGTGTAGATTAGAGCAACAATATATATATGTGTGGATTAGAGAAAGAATGTATGTATGTGTGGATTAGAGAAAGAATGTATGTAAGTGTGGATTAGAGCAACAATGTATGTATGTGTGGATTAGAGAAAGAATGTATGTATGTGTGGATTAGAGAAAGAATGTATGTATGTGTGGATTAGAGAAAGAATGTATGTATGTGTGGATTAGAGAAAGAATGTATGTATGTGTGGATTAGAGAAAGAATTTATGTATGTGTGGATTAGAGAAAGAATGTATGTATGTGTGGATTAGAGAAAGAATGTATGTATGTGTGGATTAGAGAAAGAATGTATATTTGTGTGTATTAGAGAAATGCGTAGGCCGCTTGTTTAAATACTTATTATTATAGCGGCCCACGCTTTTAATTATAACTAGACTGCCCGTCATCCGTTGGATAACTGTGGGTTTCGGGGGTCATCCATCAAAAAACATCACGTCTGTCACTCAGAGGCATAGCGACCTTTCCCGGCGCCCGGGGACAAACTTTTGAATTCGAACCCCCCCCCCCCACAAGTTTCGATTTGCAACCCCCCCCCCCTCCCTCCCAAACTTTTGATGTGCACCCCCCCCCCCCCGTCAAGATTTCGATTTGAACCCCCCCCCCCACTCAAACTTTCGATTTGCACCCCCCTCAACCTTTCAATTTATTTTTTCAACCCATTTTGGTGCCCCCTAAGGTCGGCGCCGGGGGCCATATGTCCCCCCCCCCACGCCCCCCCCCCCCCCTCCTCGCTACGCTACTGCAGTGTCACTTATCGTCACAAAAAAACAGACCCCACATTCAAAAATATGTTTTTTATCTTTTAAAAACACCGAAAACACCGATTTCGGACTATCCCTTCATATACTGACTTCACAGGTGACCTACTCAACTCTACTTCACCTGGCCAGTGTCCCGCCAAGTCTCAGACAACATGTTTTCATCGTTTAAAAAACGATTCCAGCCGAGCATGTCTCTGACCACACTATCCTTTCATATGCTTAGGACAAAGAAACAGATGAACTCTACTTCACCTGCCCTGTATCCTGCCAAGTTCAGATAGGCAACTTTATCATTCACATCTAAAAAAAAAAAAAAAATTGAAAAAAAAAATATCATTGTTGTATTGGTCTAGAACCTGTGTCACCCGCATGAGAGCCGATTACACTACCAACTTTGTGCTCTGCCATGAAAGCTTTATTTTTGTAGAGCTGATTGGCAGAATCGGTTACACGTCTGACTTGATGCATGGAAGGCGAGGCGATTCGGTGCCGTGAGGAGTGGTAGGTTCGGAACCCGTCGGGTCTGTCTGTTCTGTCTTAACTTGGACTATATTCTGTACCTTTGTCTACCCTTGGCGTTGAAATAACACTTTCTGTTTACATTGCTATTTCAGTCACAACGCCTGCTTCCACCCCTCACCATGTTTACACTACCCATTTAAGGAAGCTACTATTTGTCTGTATCGTCGTCCCTATACTTGTGTCGCCTGTGTGGTCGAATAATGGTCCTTGTTGTGTTTGAGGCTAACGGTCAGTCCCATTCGCGGTTCAAAGGTCACGCCAGCCCGCGTCTTTCGTGCATAGGTTGTGATTGTGCTCTGCCATGAAAGCTTTATTTTTGTAGAGCTGATTGGCAGAATCGGTTACACGTCTGACTTGATGCATGGAAGGCGAGGCGATTCGGTGCCGTGAGGAGTGGTAGGTTCGGAACCCGTCGGGTCTGTCTGTTCTGTCTTAACTTGGACTATATTCTGTACCTTTGTCTACCCTTGGCGTTAAAATAACTCTTTCTGTTTACATTGCTATTCCAACTTAGCTATTTACTCGTGACGTCACAAGTGAATTTTTATACTATAGTTTGATACTTTGAGTCTCCTTATGCAACTTGATTTACGCGCATAGATCTAGATCTAAGTCTAGTAGTAGTAACTTTCAAATTAAAGTTTATCTTAAATTAGCCAAACAAAGATTTATATAAAATAAAGAAGGTCTGAAATTATCTAGATCTAGATAGAATTATCTAGATCTAGATTCTACGACTCGTTTGCTTAAGTCTTAAGTTTAGTTTTTCTTGCTAGATCTAGAATCTAGATCTAGATCTAATCATTAGGCCCGGAGCGAGCATTTCAAAATTTACATATTCCAAACAAAGATTTATATAAAATAATAAAGGTCTAAAATAGTTTAGTATATAGAAAATCATTATTATCTAAATCTAGATAGAATTATCTATATTTTAGATCTACGACTGAGCTATATTTAGAATTTACGTTTATAATTTAACAAAATTACCGGTATCGAAGCCGCGTATGAATCTTAAGCTACGCAAATAGGCCCTGGATACAGCATTTCAAAATTAGCATAGTCGAAACAAAGATTTATACAAAATAATAAAGGTCTACAATATTTTAGTATATAGAAACTCATTATTATCTAAATCTAGATAGAATTATCTATATTCTAGATCTACGTCTGGTTTGCTTAAGTCTCGTTTTTTTTTTTTTGGAATGTATTTATAACTAATAAATCTTTGATTTGACCTAGATTCTAGATCTAGATCTATAAATAACTTTCTTGGACAGATTGTAGATCTAGAGAAATTTATCGTAAAACTAAATGAAAAAGACAGTTGAAAATTGATATAAGTGTTGGAACGTAATAAATACAGCAAACGGACGTATTGTTAAAGTTAAAGCCGACAGAAAATTAGCTTTAGAACGCGTTAAACATTGGAATGGGAACACAATCTTCTTCGATAGGCCGCCATTATTGATGTAAAAAAAATAAACACATCATGTGACGTCACTGTTTCCGTCGAGTGCAGTGGTTTTTCTAATCTTTTTAAAAAAAAATGTGATTAATCTACCTATGAATAAATCAAAATAAATTAATTAACGTCTTTAAATAAATGTGTGATTAACAGTCTGTCTGCAATAAAAAATTATTCTCTACCCACATACTATTTTACAGCCCCCCATATAAAGTAGCTTCCTTACAGTAAGAAATTAGACAAACAAACAAATAAATATTCAAACATGTAAACAAACTTGAGTTTTAGTAGTATATAGATGATATAAATAGTAGTGCATTAATATATTTAAAGAAAGTATTTTTTTATATATAAAGTAACCGCAGATTTATTATATTTTTATTTTTATTTTTAAAAATTATTTTATATTTAATAAAAAGTGTTTATTTTCTTCTTTTTAGTGCATTTATAAAAGCTTGTAATTATAAACGTTTTTATGTATTTATTATTTTTTATACTTTTTAGTATTAACGAGCTATACGCATGTTAAGACAATATAGTGCAGCAACAAATATATGATACACAATTTGAAAAACAGTTTTGCTTTAATAATATGATTAGTTTTACTATGCATGTCACAGTATTATGGGATGGCGTAGTGTAGTGGTAAAGAACCCGACTAAAAACCATCGCGCGCCTACTGAACGTGATGACGCGCTTTTGTCGTAGAGCCCCCCCCCCCTCGCTCCACGCCTAAGACGGCCGTGATGACGCGTGTGGATAGAACTGCCTACTAATTCGGTCCTAATTTTAATTAATTCCTAAAAAATTAATTAGGCGACCAATTAAGTCAAATTGAATGTCACGATGCATTGTCTTCATGTCTTGACCCACGTACCAACTACGGACCGTACCTGTCAGTTAGAAGTGCCTGCAATTTCACACGGGCGTTTCGATCTAGACAGACAGAGGAAGTGGGTGTAATAAAAGCTTGTAAAAATAAACCTGGAGTGATCATCCCTAAACTTCCTCGAATATTCTAATATAACACTACGGGGGATGGCAACTCGGGATATAGACATGATTTTTAATCCATTTTTAATTGCTTAAACTTTTCAAAATAGAATATAATCTGGTAGGAAAAAAGAATTGCGCACAAAGTGAATGGCAAACTATATGTGTATAATAGTGCAGAATATTATTAGTACTTTATAAATCCATAAGCGTTTTTTTTTAGAAATCGGAAATAGCGTAAATTACTACTTCTGGTCAACGGAAATTACTCAAAATTCGACACAAGGCAGAAAATTAGACCTTTTACTCATATGTGAAATTTCATTTATCTATCTGAAACAGTACTCAAGTTATAGGCTTTTGAAAATCGAAGTAGAATAAATCCCACTTCCGGTTACCGGTAATCGCTGATAAGTAGATACAGAGCTACAAATTTGATATAATACTTATACATGAAATTTTATCAACCTAGCTGTAACGGTACTCAAGTTTTCGTGTTCACAGAATCATACACACACACACACACACACACATATATATATATATATATATATATATATATATATATATATATATATATATATATATATATATATATATATATATATATATACAGATATACGGACAAAATTGCAAAAATATGTTTTTCCGACTAAGGGATGTGTAAAACGTCGAGAATTGTGAAAATCTCTACTTCGATGTTTTGCACGATTACACTACTTCCTCTATACTTCGTGTACGAGAAAGTAAAAACTCACCTGACGATGAAACAAAACTCACCTGATTCGATCGAGTTTTGTTCCTCGCCAACACAAACACACACCAAGAACACAGCAAGCAGCTCCAACACACGCTGGGCCATCTTTTAGCTGAGCTGCTGTACACGACACAATGATCAGTTTGTTACTAGTGTGGTTGTCTTCTCATGTTAACTTCCCAAATCTCTCATGCTGTGTTGGTATCACGATATGTTGGTGTCGTGTTGGTATCACGTTGTGATGGTGTCGTGTTGTGATGGTGTCATGTTATGTTAGTATCACCTTTGTGAGGTCTGCGACTTTATGTTGTGTTGGTGTCATGTTAGTATCACCTTTGTGAGGTCTGCGACTTTATGTTGTGTTGGTGTCATGTTAGTATCACCTTTGTGAGGTCTGCGACTTCATGTTGTCCTTTAGCATTTTCCAGGTGTGATAAACAGACAGTGTGATGACGCAAATTAAGCAACACTCATAAATAGGTCAAATATTAGAATTATGTATAGTCTGATACTTGCATATATATATATATATATATATATATATATATATATATATATATATATATATATATATATATATATATATATATATATATATATATATATATATATATATATATATATAACCTTCAAACACATACAGAACTCATACAATTGTATCATAATTACACAATGTTTTATGTCACATTTTTTCACAATGTGTGGCCGCCACTTCCGCTTCTCGTAACAGATCTCTATCCTGCAGGTCAGTTTTCCAGATGTGGGGGGGGGGGGGGGGGGCATTAGCCTGGAGAACAACCTGTATGTTTAGGTATGGGGGGGGGAGCCTTAAGTTTTATCTATTGGTTCAATCTACATGGTGAATGTATACTGTGCGTATCATCCTAGTGACGTCACTGTATCCCAGTTAACACCCGACTTAGGTGACACGACCAGAAATATCCCATGCTAGTTAATCCCATGATAGTTAATCCCATGATAGTTAATCCCATGCTAGTTAATCCTATGCTAGTTAATCCCATGCTAGTTCATCCTATGCTAGTTAATCCCATGCTAGTTAATCCTATGCTAGTTAATCCCATGCTAGTACATCCTATGCTAGTTAATCCTATGCTAGTTAATCCTATGCTAGTTAATCCTGTGCATCATCAGATTAATTAAACTTATTTTTAAACTAGACCTGGGAAGTGTTGTTTTCCTGCATGGCACCAGCAAGGCTAATCTTACACTGACTTACATTGAGATCAAAGGATTATAAGTTTGTGGATTAGAGGCTATATTGTTATGCCGGCTAGATAAGCTATGTAAGCTCTAGTTAGTTTTCTAAAGCATAATATAACATTGTACATGAGTACTAAGGAGTGGGGTTAGAAATATTTCCAGGGGAGTATTTACTTTTTAGCGCAATTTCCATTCTGGAGAATTGCGTTTATTAACCCGTCATTTCTGGATGTATGAATGTATGAATGAATGGATGTGTGTCCGCAGCTTTAAGTCGTATCTCCTCCTCAACGAAGCAATATCGAGGACTAGTTCCAAAGCAATTCTGTTAAGCAAGTAACGAGGATGAACATAGGCCAAAAAAAAAACCGGGTTTCTTTCATGGACTTCCCGGAAAAGCCAAAAAACCTCGAAAAAATGCAGCTTTTGGCCCATATCTCGGCAACCAGACCACTTAGCGACTTGAAACATGTACCAATCGCTTCCTGTCATAATTTAGAACAATATTGCCGAAGAAAGTTTTCAAAAATATCCTTTTGTTCGGTCACAAAAAAATTTTTGAATTAATTAAAATTTGGACCGAATTAGTAGGCATTTTTATCCAACCACACCACACGCGTCATCACGTTCAATAGCTGCGCCATCATGTTCAATGGCTGCGTCATCACGTTCAGTAGCTAGGCGCGCAATGGTTTTTAGTCATGTAACTCTATTGTAAATAAAACATGTATTTTAACCAATGGTTTTACTAACCCTGCTATTTTTAGATAACATAAGGAAATTGCGCTAAAATTGTCACTAGACTTTTTAATTACCTTGTTTAGCTAATGGAGAGTTGCAGTAACCATAAATTTCGTCGTCATAGGCGGATCTAAAGGTGTACCGCAGTAACCGCAGTAACCATAGTAGGTTCTAGAGGCGTGGTTCAGTAACAGAAACATTGCGACGGGGGGTGGGGATACATATGTCACCGGCGCCGAGACTTGGGGTGACAAAACGGGTTGAAAAAATTTTTAAAGCTCATTTTAGGTGCAGTTTAAATTATAAACAGTCAAAGCTAAGAAAGTTAACGGTAAGTGGATAAATCGTGTAACACTTAGCATAGAAACCAATTGTATTAACGTGTAAAGTACGATTTCAAAAGCCAATTTTAAAATAAAATGACGGGACTAATTCCTTGTAGTTAATAGATTCTCTCAACCTCATCGTGAGAATCAGATACTTTGTACATGCTCATATTTATATGTTTATTTATTTATGTTTGTTTGTTTGGTTGTGGATTTATGGCAGATTTTATAACTCAATTTTGACCCACTTCTAATGCAGCGATTTCGTTCAAAATTTCCATAGGTTCCACTGCGATGGCAATACAAGTCTATCTATTTTTTTATTTAATTAAATGTTTAATTAATCATTAAAAATTAATTAAAAGGTTTCGAAGCTAATGGGAGATAACAAAATTAAATCAGTTGAAAATTTTGTGGATGGAGGTGGAGCGGTAGGCTTTTTTGGGAGGGGGGGGGGAGAGATGCCTGGAAGAAACACTGGCTAAACACCTTAGTCGACTGGCAGATTTAAGGAGTGTTGCAGGGCTCTCGTGGGAGCCACCGGTCGAACTACCGACCTGATTGGGTTAAGTAATAGACTGAAGCAGCCCAACGAACTCGTGTAGGGCGCTCTTTAAAACAAAGATAGACACCAAAGTGCTGATGGGGAGCTGATGATGTTCCTTGTCACATGACCGCGCGGGCAGCGAAGGACACACTGATACAATTTACAACCCCCCCCCCCCCCGCTCATTATATTGAAAGCCAAATATATCATTTTAATTAAACACAAAATGTATACAGTACATTAACTAGCGCCCCCCCCCCCCCTACCCCAACATGGGGAAATATTTTGTGAAAGTAACTCAGGCAATCACTAGTATAATATGTAACGTTTTTGCAAGAAATTTTTTGGACAAAGGGAAACAACCAAGTTAATATTTATTGGAAACGAATCTGAGCTTGATTAACTCCTCTTATTATCCAAAAAGTTTTTGCAAGAAATTTTATGGACAAAGGGAAACAACCATGTTAATATTTAGTGCAAAAGAATCTGAGCTTGATTAATTCCTCTTATTATCCAAAAAGTTTTTGCAAGAAATTTTATGGACAAAGGGAAACAACGAAGTTAATATTTATTGCAAAAGAATCTGAGCTTGATTAATTCCTCTTATTATCCAAAAAGTTTTTGCAAGAAATTTTATGGACAAAGGGAAACAACGAAGTTAATATTTATTGCAATAGAATCTGAGCTTGATTAATTCCTCTTATTATCCAAAAAGTTTTTGCAAGAAATTTTATGGACAAAGGGAAACAACGAAGTTAATATTTATTGCAAAAGAATCTGAGCTTGATTAATTCCTCTTATTATCCAAAAAGTTTTTGCAAGAAATTTTATGGACAAAGGGAAACAACCAAGTTAATATTAATTGGAAAAGAATCTGAGTGATTAATTCCTCTTATTATCCAAAAAGTTTTGGAACTGAGGAGCTGTAATTTTTTTTTTCTTAACAAAACTATCTCACTCTCTCTCTCTCTCTGTATATATATATATATATATATATATATATATATATATATATATATATATATATATATATATATATATATATATATATATATATATATATATATATATATATATATATATATATATATATATATATATATATATATAATGTATTACATGCAAATAGTGGTGTATTTATTTTTGTGATATGGGTTTCGAGTCGTCTTCAATGTTTAAAATTTTAATTCAATGTTCCCATACCCTCTTGCAATTGTAAAAATCTTACATTTTTAATTATGTTTATATAATTAAATAATTGCTCCTGATAATTAGAATCACTAAAGTTCATCTGACTGGTGGAAAGCTACTTTCAACGTCTGCACAGAAATAAATGAAGAATACAATCAACTTCTGCAACCAAACTGACAGAGACAGAAGGATAGACGTACATACAGAAATTCGAATAAATAGAATTAAAACGGTTTACAAGTTTTGAATAATTTCTACATTTATTTGTTTAAATTTTTTATGTCGAAATTTTTTTTTCCAGAACGTGGTTAGCCTGAGTGCTCTGGGTCTGAAATTCAAAATGGACGTAAATATAATTTTAAATTGTATCTCTACAACCAAACCCACTTCTCAGGATTTGGAGACATCTATAAAGTCCATTTTGGTGAAGTCAAAACGCTGGATTCTCTCTTGGTCTTCACATTCTTTCATGGTTTATGTAATACATATATATACATGTACATATATATATATATATATATATATATATATATATATATATATATATATATATATATATATATATATATATATATATATATATATAAGTATCTTACCAACGACCTTGAGAAAACCGTCATAAAAGATGTAACCTTCACTGTTGCTGATGTTACACTGGAAGCATGCGGTGTCTTTACACTTGTCCAGATCCTTGATGGTCAGCTCGGTGCCGTCAGCATCAAAACTGTACCTGGTCTGGTCAGGGAACGTCTCTGTCGTGGAAGGAAAGGAAACAAAAGATGACGTGAAACACGTCGACTCTACTTCCCCTGTCGTATGCATCAGTAGGTCCCGAACGGAAGTTTTAGTGCTAAATGACAGCGGCAGTAAAAGTTGGGGTCTTTGTGTAAATTACTACTACTGAAATTGTTGAATGACAATTTTCTTTAAATCGCCGTTTACGGGTTACTTTGGATGTAGAAGTTCCAGTTTAAGAATTTAAATTTGTATTCTAAAGTAGGTTTCATTTTTTTTAAAAATAGACGTGTACAAAAGGTATTAAAAGTGTTTGTTTCAAACATTTTCTGAAAAAACGTTGAGGAATGCTGGGATAGAAGTGGTACCACAGCAGCGAGAAAGTGACATGTCCACTTGAAATAGAAATCAACTTTAAACATTGAATGACTACACACACATACCTCATCCACAAACAACTCACCCCCCCCCCCCCACACACACACACACCTCACCCACACACACACCTCACCCACACACAGACCTCACCCACACACAGCTCACCCCACACACACACTTCACCCCCACACACACCACACCTCACCCACACACCCACACATACACCTCACCCACACACACCCCACACACCCACACACACCTCACACCACACCTCACCCACACACCCCACACACCTGTAGTGAGCAGCTCCCCATTCCTGTACCACACAGGTGGCTCCAGGTTCTCTCCCTCCATGGCCCTGGCAAAACATTTCAATGTGGCCATCTGGCCGGAAAGTTTGTATAACTTTTCCAGTGAAGTGTCTGGTGTTGTTAACATCAGAGGTGGACCTGTGATAAAAAGGTTAACATTACAAGTGCAACTGTCATAAAAATGTTAACAAGAGCACCGGTCAAGAAAACAAAATGTGAACGATTAGTAGACCTCACTGCCACATAACTAAATGACTGTGTGAGTCAATGACTTAACGACTCGATGACGCGCTGACTCTACACCACGTACTTGTCACTACACCACGTACTTGTCACTACACCACGTACTTGTCACTACACCGTCCCCACGTACTTGTCACTACACCGTCCACACGTACTTGTCACTACACCACGTACTTGTCACTACACCACGTACTTGTCACTACACCACCTACTTGTCACTACACCACGTACTTGTCACTACACCACGTACTTGTCACTACACCACGTACTTGTCACTACACCACCTACTTGTCACTACACCACGTACTTGTCACTACACTTTTACTTGTCACTACACCGTCCCCACGTACTTGTCACTACACCACGTACTTGTCACTACACCGTCCCCACGTACTTGTCACTACACCGTCCCCACCAGTGGCGTAGCGAGGTCGGGTGTCACCCGGTGCGGCACTTAATGGTGTCACCCCCCCCCCAGAGGCGTAGCGACCCTTCCCATGGACAAACTTTCAAATTTTCTATTTGCACCCCCCCCCCCCTCAAGTTTTCGATTTGCACCCCCCCCCCCCCCCCTCAAGTTTTCGATTTGCACCACCTCCTCAAGTTTTTCTCTATATATTTTGCTATTTTTTGCCTTGGTGTCACCCCCTAAATGGTGTCACCCGGTGCGGTCCGCACCCCCCGCCCCCCCCCCCTCGCTACGCCCCTGGTCCCCACGTACTTGTCACTACACTTTTACTTGTCACTACACCGTCCCCACGTATTTGTCACTACACCACGTACTTGTCAATACACCACGTACTTGTCACTACACCACGTACTTGTCAATACACCACGTACTTGTCACTACACCACGTACTTGTCAATACACCACGTACTTGTCACTACACCATGTACTTGTCACTACACCACGTACTTGTCACTACACCGTCCCCACCTACTTGTCACTACACCACGTATTTGTCACTACACCACGTACTTGTCACTACACCACGTACTTGTCACTACACCACGTACTTGTCACTACACCACGTACTTGTCACTACACCGTCCCCACGTACTTGTCACTACACCACGTACTTGTCACTACACCACGTACTTGTCACTACACCGTCCCCACTTGTCACTACACCGTCCCCACGTACTTGTCACTACACCACGTACTTGTCACTACACCACGTACTTGTCACTACACCACGTACTTGTCACTACACCACGTACTTGTCACTACACCACGTACTTGTCACTACACCACCTACTTGTGACATTGAGGAAGATCCTGGCATCGTCCGACCCGGCACCGTTTCTGGCCGTGCATGAGTACGTCCCCTCGTCCTCCTCTCTCAGCTGTTCAATTCTCAACTTCCGGCCGAAATCGTCGATGACGTAATGACCGTGACCTTCCTGGATGACCTGTTGTTGATTGTCCTTCCACGTGATATCAGGTTCTGGGCTGAAATGACGTGGGGGTGGGAGGGGTGGGAGGGGGGTCGATTTATTTCTTCCACTCAAGGGGAGCTAAGTAGATCTTGTTTTGTTGGTTATCTAACATGGTTTTACAGTACTTGAACATACTAGGGCTAACCCTAACCCTAACCCTAACCTCTGTAAGTCCCAGCCTCTAAATACAATCAGGAAAAACTACTCTATGTATTAACCATGAGAAATTTTGTCTAAATGTTTCAGGAGTTTGAGACGGAGAGGGTTGCTACATTGTGCTGTCTTAGGTTTTCTTAAAGTTCCAAACGTTGGCTAATCTACACCAGAGTAAGACTTGAACCATCTTATTAAAACCCGAAAGTAAATGTTTTTAAATGTACAGGTTAGGAGGCTTTTAGGTTCTGTTAGGCAGAGGAGTTTTTGAAGAAAAACTTGACCTACTAACCCAAGAATACAACCTTGACCTACGTGCCCCCGGAGAAACCCTTGACCTGCTAGTCTAAAAAGAAAACCTTGACCTACTAGCCCGAGAAGAAACACTCCAGTTCCACGCGCTGACCAAGTGTGCCTTTGACCACTGTGGAAACATGTTCCTTGTTGGGCTTCATCAGCTCTGTGGTTAAAGGTTGAGTACATGGTCATTTAGATGAAATGGGACGTGTCGACAGTTGAGTACATGGTCAGTTAGATGAAATGGGACGTGTCGACAGTTGAGTACATGGTCAGTTAGATGAAATGGGACGTGTCGACAGTTGAGTACATGGTCAGTTAGATGAAATGGGACGTGTCGACAGTTGAGTACATGGTCAGTTAGATGAAATGGGACGTGTCGACAGTTGAGTACATGGTCAGTTAGATGAAATGGGACGTGTCGACAGTTGAGTACATGGTCAGTTAGATGAAATGGGACGTGTCGAAAGTTAAGTACATGGTCAGTTAGATGAAACGAGACGTGTCGACAGCTGAGTACATGGTCAGTTAGATGAAATGGGACGTGTCGACAGTTGAGTACATGGTCAGTTAGATGAAATGGGACGTGTCGACAGTTGAGTACATGGTCAGTTAGATGAAATGGGACGTGTCGACAGTTGAGTACATGGTCAGTTAGATGAAATGGGACGTGTCGACAGTTGAGTACATGGTCAGTTAGATGAAATGGGACGTGTCGACAGTTGAGTACATGGTCAGTTAGATGAAATGGGACGTGTCGACAGTTGAGTACATGGTCAGTTAGATGAAATGGGACGTGTCTACACGCAGTATTCAATGGGTCGATTGGATGTCTGTGTGGTCAGCGTTTTAACTTTACCCAAGTAATGAAGGGAACCCATTAATACTGAATAAAATCTGGAATTTACTAAACAATTCTGTAATCATCTTGACGTACCTGTCTTCCCCCCTATGACTGTGACGTACCTGTCTTCCCCCCTATGACTGTGACGTACCTGTCTTCCCCCCTATGACTGTGACGTACCTGTCTTCCCCCCTATGACTGTGACGTGTATGACGTCAAAGAGATAAATGGCCGTGGCGTGTGGGTTGTTGTAGGGCGCCAGTCCACACACGTACTCCCCCGCGTCTTCATTGACGGCATACGCAATATGGTGTGTACCTGCAACATACGTCATATAGTGTGTACCTGCAACATACGTCATATGGTGTGTACCTGCAACATACGTCATATAGTGTGTACCTGCAACATACGTCATATAGTGTGTACCTGCAACATACGTCATATGGTGTGTACCTGCAACATACGTCATATGGTGTGTACCTGCAACATACGTCATATAGTGTATACCTGCAACATACGTCATATAGTGTATACATGCAACATACGTCATATGGTGTGTACCTGCAACATACGTCATATAGTGTATACCTGCAACATACGTCATATGGTGTGTACCTGCAACATACGTCATATAGTGTATACCTGCAACATACGTCATATGGTGTGTACCTGCAACATACGTCATATGGTGTGTACCTGTAACATACGTCATATAGTGTATACCTGCAACATACGTCATATAGTGTATACCTGCAACATACGTCATATGGTGTGTACTTGCAACATACGTCATATGGTGTGTACCTGTAACATACGTCATATAGTGTATACCTGCAACATACGTCATATGGTGTGTACCTGTAACATACGTCATATGGTGTGTACCTGCAACATACGTCATATGGTGTGTACCTGTAACATACGTCATATGGTGTGTACCTGCAACATACGTCATATAGTGTGTACGTATAGTGTGCAACATACGTCACATAGTCTGTACCTGAAACATACGTCATATGATGTGTAATGTCCCTATTCTTAAATCCAATGTCTTTCTAAGAATTATTTTGTGAAGGTTAGAAATCGTAGCAATCTACAATTTATTTTAACAACACCCTGCTACTGTTACATATAACCATGACCCACCAACCCTACTGTTATATAACCATGACCCACCAACCCTACTGTAACATATAACCATGACCCACCAACCCTACTGTTATATAACCATGAACCACCAACCCTACTGTTATATATAACCATGACCCACCAAAACTACTGTTATACAACCATGACCCACCAACCCTACTGTTATATATAACCATGACCCACCAACCCTACTGTTATATATAACCATGACCCACCAACCCTACTGTTATACAACCATGACCCACCAACCCTACTGTTATATATAACCATGACCCACCATTGCTGTCGGTGCCGACTCTGCTGGTGATGTCCACTTCCTGTCTGCTGACGTCCCTGTACCAGCGAACTAAAAAATTTCCGGCACCATCAGGGGCGTGAACACAGTACAGGTGGGTTGGTGTGCCCTCTGTCACGCTCACGTCAATAGGGTTGATCCCACCTGGATATATGCATATATATATATATATATATATATATATATATATATATATATATATATATATATATATATATATATGTATATATATATATATCTATATATATATATATATATATATATATATATATATATATATATATATATATATATATATATATATATATATATATATATATATATATATATATATATATATATATATATATGTATATATATATGAATGTATTCGGTTATTAAACATCATCTTTAGATTGAAAACAACTGATCTAGCTTTACAAACCTAGCTATACACCTAGCTATACAAACCTAGCTATACACCTAGCTATACAAACCTAGCTATAAAACCTAGCTATACATAATTAGCTATACAAACCTAGCTATACACCTAGCTATACAAACCTAGCCATACACCTAGCTATACAAACCTAGCTATACACCTAGCTATACAAACCTAGCTATACACCTAGCTATACAAACCTAGCTATACACCTAGCTATATAAACCTAGCTATACAAACTTAGCCATACACCTAGCTATACAAACCTAGCTATACACTTAGCTATATAAACCTAGCTATAAAACCTAGCTATACACAATTAGCTATACAAACATATCTATACAACCTAGCTATACACACACAATACACACCTAGCTATATACACCTAGCTATACACATCTAGCTATACACATCTATCTATCACACCTAGCTATACACATCTAGCTATACACACCTAGCTATACACATCTAGCTATACACATCTATCTATCACACCTAGCTATACACACCTAGCTATACACATCTAGCTATACACATCTATCTATCACACCTAGCTATACACATCTATCTATCACACCTAGCTATACACATCTATCTATCACACCTAGCTATACACATCTAGCTATACACACCTAGCTATACACATCTAGCTATACACATCTAGCTATACACACCTAGCTATACACACCTAGCTATACACATCTAGCTATACACATCTATCTATCACACCTAGCTATACACATCTAGCTATACACACCTAGCTATACATATCTAGCTGTACACACCTAGAAAGCTTTCGTCTATATATGCACTAGCCAAAATCGGAAATTTCACAGAGACGGAAGTTCCACATTTATTTTTAGCCTGACACTGGAAAACCCCACCGTCCCTCATCTTGAAGTCTTTAAACACCAGCGTGCCGTTGCTGAAGGCTTTGATGTAGTCCCCGTTGTCGTCAATGGCAACGTCGTTTCTCAACCACTGGTACCTGGAATGGAAGTCACTCAGCATATAATAGCAGAATTGTATGTGGAATTTTAGCAGAATTGTATGTAGAATTTCAGCAGAATTGTGTGTAGAATTTTAGCAGAATTGCATGTAGAATTTTAACAGAATTGTTTGTAGAATTTCAGCAAAATTGCATGTAGAATATTAGCAGAATTGTATGTAGAATTTTTTTGGGGGGGGGGGGGGGGCACGGTAGACTTTCTTCGGGGGGGGGGGGGGACGCTGTTAAAAGTATATATTTTCTATATAAATTATATAAATTTCATTTTATTCGGTGGGGGGGGGGGGGGCGGTAGAATATTTCGGGGGGGGGGGGCGAAGCCCTCCAGAAGAGAGGCCTGGAACAAACTCTGGGGCAAAATGATTACTTTTATGCCAATGGTGGTCATGCCATTCATTGGTCTGGAGCCAATATGTCGGGAGTCATTTTGTCAAAAGCCAATATGTCGTGAGCCCATTTGTCGGGAGCCCATTTGTCTTGAGCCCTTATGTCGGGAGCCAATATGTCGAGAGCCGCTTTGTCGGGGGCCAATATGTTCTGAGCCTATTTGTCAGGGGTTAATATGTCGGGAGTCCATTTGTCGGGAGCCTAAATATCGGGAGCCCATTTGTCGGGAGCCTATATGTCGCAAGTCAATATGACGGGAGCCCATTTGACGGGAGCCAATAAGTCGGGGCCCTTTTGACGGGGCTATTTTGACTGGGTCGTTTTGTCGGGGGTCGATTTGACGGGGTCAAATTAACGGGGCCGTTTTGACGGGGCCGATTTGTCCCCGGCCGTTTTGACAGGGCACAGTTTTTATGATAATAGAATAAGTGCTGTGTTCATATATAAAAATGTTCGTGTGTCGCGTTAAAAAATGCATAATGTTACTTTCCAAATGAACATTGTACTAGATTATCCAGTAACTGTTTCAAAAATCCGTCCAGCTTACGTAGGTGGTGGGTAACCGTCGGCCTCGCATTGTATGACCGCCCCTCTCCCTTCTTTGATGACTCTTCTCTTCTGTGAGTCAGGTTTCCTGATTTGGGGTGGGGTCAGCTCTGGAGAACAAAGCATCAAGGTGAGTGACACGGTGGATATGCCTGTGTTGAGGTGAGGTGTATGGGGCAAGGGGAGGTGTGTGGGACAAGGGGAGGTGTGTGGGACAAGGTAAGGTGTGTAGGGCCAGGTGAGTGTGTGGGACAAGGTGAGGTGTGTGGGGCAAGGTGAGGTGTGTGGGGCCAGGTGAGGTGTGTGGGACCAGGTGTGTGGGACCAGGTGAGATGTGTGGGGCCAGGTGTGTGGGGCCAGGTGAGGTGTGTAGGGACAGGTGAGGTGTGTGGGACAAGGTGGGGTGTGTGGGACCAGGTGAGGTGTGTGGGACAAGGTGGGGTGTGTGGGACCAGGTGAGGTGTGTGGGGCCAGGTGTGTGGGGCCAGGTGAGGTGTGTAGGGACAGGTGAGGTGTGTGGGACAAGGTGAGGTGTGTGGGACAAGATGAGGTGTGTGGGACAAGGTGAGGTGTGTGGGGCCAGGTGTGTGGGGCCAGGTGTGTGGGGCCAGGTGTGTGGGGCCAGGTGAGGTGTGTGGGACAAGATGAGGTGTGTGGGGCCAGGTGAGGTGTGTGGGGCCAGGTGTGTGGGGCCAGGTGTGTGGGGCCAGGTGTGTGGGGCCAGGTGAGGTGTGTGGGACAAGATGAGGTGTGTGGGGCCAGGTGAGGTGTGTGGGACAAGGGGAGGTGTGTGGGGCCAGGTGGGGTGTGTGGGACAAGGTGAGGTGTGTGGGACAAGGTGAGGTGTGTGGGGCCAGGTGAGGTGTGTGGGACAAGGTGAGGTGTGTGGGACAAGGTGAGGTGTGTGGGACAAGGTGAGGTGTGTGGGGCCAGGTGGGGTGTGTGGGGCCAGGTGAGGTGTGTGGGACAAGGTGAGGTGTGTGGGACCAGGTGAGGTGTGTGGGACAAGGTGAGGTGTGTGGGGCCAGGTGGGGTGTGTGGGACAAGGTGAGGTGTGTGGGACAAGGTGAAGTGTGTGGGGCCAGGTGAGGTGTGTGGGGCCAGGTGAGGTGTGTGGGACAAGGTGAGGTGTGTGGGGCCAGGTGTGGTGTGTGGGGCCAGGTGAGGTGTGTGGGGCCAGGTGAGGTGTGTGGGGCCAGGTGAGGTGTGTGGGACCAGGTGTGGGGCCAGGTGGGGTGTGTGGGGCCAGATGTGAGGTGTGTGGGGCCAGGTGAGGTGTGTGGGGCCAGGTGGGGTGTGTGGGGCCAGGTGTGGGGCCAGGTGGGGTGTGTGGGACAAGGTGAGGTGTGTGGGACCAGGTGAGGTGTGTGGGGCCAGGTGGGGTGTGTGGGGCCAGGTGGGGTGTGTGGGACAAGGTGAGGTGTGTGGGACCAGGTGAGGTGTGTGGGGCAAGGTGAGGTGTGTGGGGCCAGGTGAGGTGTGTGGGGCCAGGTGAGGTGTGTGGGGCCAGGTGAGGTGTGTGGGGCCAATTAAGTTTTTACAGTTAGGTTTTAAATGGTGACAAGAGTGTGTGTATGTGTGTGTGTGTGCGTTCGTGCGTGTGCGTGCGCGCGCATATGTTACAGGAATATTACAGACAAAAAAAACAACAAAACGTCAGGTATTTCATAAAATATTTTGTTAAACCGGTATCATCGCCTTTATAAGAGTGTGTCTGTGTCTGTATCTGTGTGTGGGGGGGGGGGAGTATAGATCAGCGTTAAAGTAATTTCAGTGTAGACTTGACAAGACAAATATCCCAAGCTGTGCAGTCATTCACGACACACAAGTTCGTGTGTGAGTTGGGATTAGAGCAAGTATTGTGGTCTGGATTAACAGATTAACGTTTGGGATTAGAGCAAGTGTTGTGCTCACGACGAGCTGATTAACGCTGATTAATGTCTTGTTGCACCGTGTAACCATGAGATCTACCGAGTTCTGTATGTCTGATGATCTAAACATATAATACATATGTGATGGTCTAAACATATAATACATGTGTGATGGTCTAAACATATAACACATGTGTGATGGTCTAAACATATAATACATATGTGGTGGTCTAAACATATAATACATGTGTGATGGTCTAAACATATAATACATGTGTGATAGTCTAAACATATAACACATGTGTGATGGTCTAAACATATAATACATATGTGGTGGTCTAAACATATAATACATGTGTGATAGTCTAAACATATAACACATGTGTGATGGTCTAAACATATAACACATGTGTGATGGTCTAAACATATAATACATATGTGGTGGTCTAGACATATAATACATATGTGGTGGTCTAGACATATAATACATATGTGGTGGTCTAGACATATAACACGCTTTTTTACTGTGGCTTGGGGATTAGTGTGGATGGTGATATGGTGTGAGTGGTGGTATGCTCGCACTTAATTAAACTGTCACATTATCCTTGTCATGCGTATGTACCCAGTTGTGTACTAAATTGAAGTGTCACATTATCCACGTCATGCGAGTGTACCCAGTTGTGTACTAAATTGAACTGTCAAATTATCCACGTCATGCGAGTGTTTGTGTACAAAAAGTAAACAATGAAAGCTCACCAGCTGATAAAGATTTCCTGTCAGCTCCCGCCAACCAACACCACCAGAACACTGACAGCAGCGCCAACCAGTGCAGGTTCATCTTTTAGCTGAGTTCAACTCAGCTGACCTTTGGTCAGATTGAAAAAACTAACATCGCCTAGATAAAAGCCCAGAAATGTGTATTGCCATCTGTGAAAACACAAACTGTATTAATAAAATAAAGCGGGTTGAACTCAATCTACGTGTGGTATTGATCTGATTTACTCCATGGTGCGACCTCTTCGTTGTTCTTATAACGATGGTATATCATCACAACTGTGTCATCATATCACAAGTATGTCAGCATATCTCAAGTGTGTCAGCATATCTCAAGTGTGTCAGCATATCTCAAGTGTGTCATCATATCACAAGTGTGTCAGCATATCACAAGTGTGTCATCATATCACAAGTATGTCAGCATATCTCAAGTGTGTCAGCATATCTCAAGTGTGTCAGCATATCTCAAGTGTGTCATCATATCACAAGTGTGTCAGCATATCACAAGTGTGTCGTCATATCACAAGTGTGTCATCATATCTCAGACGTGTCATCATATCACAAGTGTGTCATCATATCTCAGACGTGTCATCATATCACAAGTGTGTCATCATATCACAAGTGTGTCATCATATCACAAGTGTGTCATCATATCTCAAGTGTGTCAGCATATCTCAAGTGTGTCATCATATCACAAGTGTGTCAGCATATCACAAGTGTGTCGTCATATCACAAGTGTGTCATCATATCTCAGACGTGTCATCATATCACAAGTGTGTCATCATATCACAAGTGTGTCATCATATCTCAAGTGTGTCGTCATATCTCAAGTGTGTCAGCAAATCTCAAGTGTGTCGTCATATCACAAGTGTGTCATCACATCTCAGACGTGTCATCATATCACAAGTGTGTCAGCATATCTCAAGTGTGTCGTCATATCACAAGTGTGTCATCATATCACAAGTGTGTCACGTCAGGTCTGACCTGTCGTTACTTTTGAGTTGTGTCATAATATCTTACGTATGCTCTACTTCAGATGTATAAAGTAAATCTTTCCATGTGTAAAGTAAACCAAGTGCTCTGCACACGCAAACAGTCGACTGTTGTTGTTGTTGTTACCGCCATGACGGTCCTCACCACAGGAACTTTTGCAAGTAAAGCAGAAATTTTAAAATTTTATTTTAGCAACCACACAGTCACGTAATAATTGTTTTTTTTTAAAGGGAAATTATATTCCTATAACATGCTATTCGTATACGTCTGTTCTTTTAAATGTGCATTATCTCAGAAGTGTGCCGTGAATTATCTGCATACATGATGTGATGTGAAATGTGTGTATGTGGTGTATATCAAGTAGTGTGTACGGTTATGTGATGTCAATGGTAACAGGGTACATTTGTACCGTAATAATAGTATTAACCTGTAAAGTGTTAATTCAACCGGTAGGAGGGTCTGTATCGCTTCTCAACGGGAATATAGGCTCGAGTATAGTATTACTAGAAGTACTATCCTTAAGGTTTGATGACTAAGTGTCAATTCAATGTACAATGTTTTTTTTCAAGATGGCAGCCGTTGCCATGGCAACCATATTTTCAAGTGAGTCCCTGATGGTTGCAAATATTTTCCTTTGACTACCCTAACTTGGATATACACAAATAAATCAGTAAAACGTTTTAATTGAGAAGTTGGTTTTTTCTGGAGTGTTACGTTCTGCCTTCGTTTCAAATCAACAACAACGCTTCGTGTCTAACTTTACTACTTTTATTCGTCTCAATGCATTCAAGCGTACTAGAACAGCCCTCGTCCTAACTGCTACTAACCCGCTGACTGCCCCCACAATCGTTCACTCGCCCTTTTATACCCGCATTCGACCTTGGGATTACAATACATAAACATACAAGGGTAACTACACAGCAAGGTGAACTCCACTCACACAGGCACTCTCCCCTAGTTCTAGACTATTCTAACCTATTCTAATCTAACCTACATCTGACCCGTAACATGGAGCCTATCCCTTAATCGTTTAAATTTCTGAAAAATGTTATCACATTGAATATCAAGAGACCAAGTAGTAGTTTGTTCAATTAGGCTGTTCATTATCAATAATAATTCATATGTTAACCTGATTACAGAAAGAAGTCACTCATCATGTTACAAAACATCGTTTTTGTCCTCGCATCTAACCGCTCTAGACACACGATTTGTGAGAACCCCTGACTTGATCACAACACACCAGTCAAATAAGGTAGCCAATTAGCCGTTTATGCCGAGCAGTTTCACTCAACACAGTGTATTCACTGTTGCGTATGAGGAAAACAATCGTTGACATTTACAATGTTTAATGAGTGCTTCATATAATCTTCCTGCCCAAAACCCATATATTCTCCCTGCCCAAAACCCATATATTCTCCCTGTCAAGGTGTTGTGGTGTCGTGGTGTCATGGTTTCGTGTTTAAATGGTGGCATGGTGTTTATTTAGATTTCGCGCAAATACTGACACCCACACATACAGCCAACTTTTACTCAGTAGAGTTTTTGTTTTCCGTCCACGTTAACGTACATGAATTGTGTCTGCAGTGACGTCAAGTAACAGTGACAAGAACAATTGTGATTGTAGGACAACTTTATTGTCAGCTTTAATAAACAGGGTTGGTAATCCTACAAGTCTCCCAACGCTTTTTTGATAGCTCTCCGGGCTAGTCTCAGATAATTTTGTATTTCCTCCAACTTTTCCTTCTTTACGCATCCTTCGTTCGCCGGCTCATCGTCATTGTCATCGCCTGACCGTCCTTTGCCGCCGCGGCCTTCTACGTGGTTGCTCACAGTCAGGAGTAGCAGAAGCAACAGACACAGCTTCGTGGCAATCATCTCTGGGGAAATCAGTTAATAAACATGTGTGTTAACATTTTATAACAACAAATATAAATAAAAACAGTTGTTACAATGTCACTCAATGATGGAACAAAAGTTTCTGCTTGGCTGGAGTGTGTTGCCTAAAATGACTATGTTTTACTTTAAGTCACAGCTATTGACTTGCGTCGATATTATTTAAGACTTAAACACTAAACACTTAAGCCTGGCAGCCTCTAGAACAACATTGTATACCATTGCGATGGGAATTTTACTGTAGATCTAACTTACGATTTTTATTATTGCTCTAAATTAATGTATAACAATCTGGAAAGCAGTAGACCAATTGAAAACTGGGCAAGGTTAGATCAGTTAAGGGATGCCGAACTGGGATGGGTTGGCTGAACGTGGGTAGGCCTAGCTGTCTAATATGTGGTCAACCGGAGCGAGTTTTGAGAAAGAATCTTTAACACTGTTTTGGGGGATAGAAACGTATTAGGTTATATATATAGACAGGAAATTACAAATAGGAAAACAGTCTAGAAAGTCAGAAAAAAAAGGAATTGAATCCCCGCCCCCCCCCCCCACCCAAAAAAAAAAACTCTACCGCCCTACCCCAACAACCACCCAGAACGAGACGGAATTTATATAGAATATATATACTTTTACATGTGTCCGCTCCCCGGAAAATTAGTCCGCCCCCCCCCCCACGAAAATATCAACTGCACCTTCACCCCCCTCCCCCCACCCGGAGAAAAAAAGTCTAAAAGGAACACTGGAATTGATTAAGTTTTTACAATGTATGGGTTTTGTTGTGTTTGTGTGTGTGTGTGTGTTTTTGTGCGTTTTTGTGTGTGTTTTTGTGTGTTTTTGTGTGTGTTTTTGTGTGTGTTTTTGTGTGTGTTTTATGTGTGTTTTTGTGTGTTTTTGTGTGTGTTTTTGTGTGTGTTTTATGTGTGTTTTTGTGTGTTTTTGTGTGTGTTTTTGTGTGTGTTTTTGTGTGTGTTTTTGTGTTACATAGCTGGAACTGTTTGGCTTACTGCAAAGATTTTTGCAAATATTGTGTTTTTATTTTGTTTGAACTATCGTGGTGTAGAAAGTCAGATTTTGGGTAAGCTTTCGAAAATTTAATTTTCATACTGCAGAAAGACAACAAACGATTTGTCACATGAGTACAAGCAAGTCAACAAATTCTAGAAATTCGTTTAATATTAGCGCCCCTAATCGAAACTATTCTATTTTTGCGCCGACAATGTCTTACACTTAGCTGGTACAGTGAACGCTTCCTTTTCCATAGACGGTTAACCCATATCTGTGAAATACTACTTCCGAGAATAGATTAATTGACTAATTATTAAGTAGACTAATTATGAAATAGTCAACTTAAAAAGTTGAACTAGACTGTATTGGAGTAATTTTAAATGTACTTTTACTGGTTTATAATCTGGGCACGTGCGCGCTACGCACACACACACACACACACACACATAAAAAAAAAAAAAAAAAAAAAAAAAAAAAAAAAAAAAAAAATATATATATATATATATATATATATATATATATATATATATATATATATATATATATATATATATATATATATATATATATATATATATATATATATATATATATATATATATATATATATATATATATGTATATATGTATATAAGTTTTGAACTCATCCCCACGAGACTATCCTGACTACGCCACCACTGTGACGGATCATCTCAGCTCTTGCGGGTACCTGGCTAAATATGGCTAAATATGGCTAAATATGGCTAAATATGGCTAAACGTAAGTCGTCTGGGCATTATACATTCTTTTGTAGTAAGTGAACGTAGAAAATTATGAACTCTACTATCATCTCAGGGTATAGTGATTCTAGTTATTACAGCTGGCGAGCCTCATAATTAAACTTGCCTTACAGGCGTATTTATCCTTTTTATACAAGAATATGTATCCCTGTTATACAAACGTATTTATAACAAGAATGTTTCTACTTCTAGGACAAGCTTATTTCAACTAAACATACACAGAGTCAAATATTATGTTTTCAGATATCTGACCATAATAGTATTTCCTTCACTGAACACCGTTAGCAAAATAATTGAAAGAGCAAACTTTTAAAAAAGTATTAAGAGAAAAAAACAGAAAAATATCTCTAGCTACCATAGAAGCTAGTGACGCAGCAGCGAGGTAGAAGAGCAGCCTGATACAGTGCTCAGTATGGGCGTATCTCAAGAAATGGCGACCTGTTTGTGTTGTAGGTCTCTCCATCCACATCAAGTTTACAGCTAAAACTTCCGCGACCCTCCCCCCCCCTCCTCTCCGCACGGTCTACTAACGTTACTAACAAAGCTTACCTGAATAATGCTGTAAAGCTCCGAACTAAGAAAGGTTTGAAGAGACTCAAATCTCCAACGTCAGACTTTGGGCAAAAGGTCTGTTCAGATGAGCAGCTCTCCAAGTCAGGTGCCTGCAATGTGGCGACTTATTTATTGCCTTTTTGTCTATCAACGCAGTGGTTCACAAAAAGTGTAAATGTCTACCCGGACGTTATATTTCAAAGCACAATTCTTATTTAGAACTAAAAGTGATGTTTTTGATGAAAACATTTTATTGTAATTAGTTTTGATGGACGAAAATTACTTCGAATAATTTTGATAAATCAAACACCTTAAAAATTATTTCCAAAAATTTACGATGCGCGTTAGTCAAGAGAGTGTGATGTCATAAATTTCGACTTGACAACGTGACCGTAGGTACCGATACAACCGTCTGGATGTACCAAAAAAATCAGTGACCGGCAGCAGTAGGATAAATGTACCTATGCGCATATACAAAGCGCAAAATCGGTATGTCGCGTTTTCCCGACAGTCAGCATTAAGAGGATAATGATATCGTGTAATGGGATGAGTATATGATGGGTTCAGCGTATTTAGTAGTTGAGAAATGCAGACTTTCAAACACATGTAAAACACAAGACACGAACACACAGACACCAAGTACACAAAGAAACAAATACATGTAATATCCTACACCACGTGCATGAGAAACAAACAGATCTACCCACTACACACCGTTTGAATGATGGCACCAAACGACTAGTGTTGTGTTCGCCACCGTACAACCACCACCCTGTACTCTGGTGTTAGAACTGCAACAGTGAGCATTTGAGGACCAATGATGTTTTGTTTTTAAAGATTTCACTTGAGTAATTACACAACTAATAAACAAGTCTTGCCGAACAGTTTTACTAGACACTATGTTAGTTTATGGACAAAGTTCGTCTAATTAAGAACATTCGATCGTGCAAATGTTATAAACAGAAAAAGTTTGGCTAACAGCTACATTTTTAATCGTTGAAGCAGTTTTCTATCAGGATTTGAAAGATTTGAACTCATGGCTTTTACATCCCATGTTTTCTCGTGGTAGAGCTGTAGTTCTAGTTCAATAGAATTATGCGCTCTACAGCTCTACCACGAGAAAACATGGGATGTAAACTCTCATTGAATTAATTTAGACTGTCGACTCCCCAAAGGGTTGACATTGTCCAACGCGACAAGACTGTCTTTGATAACCCGAAAATTTCGAGCGCAGGTTGATTATGGATTAAAGGTTAGGCTTAGGGGAATATCGTTTATTTATACTTTTTCATATTATTAAACTTTAAGTTTGTCAACCAATTATATTTCATTATCCCACGTATAGTTGCTTATGGGAGTGTGTGGAAAAAAAACTATTTTAAACATAACAAAAGTTCGCTAAAAAACCAATAAGCCTGATTAGCCTTCCTCTTTCATTAGACAGATTGAGTGTTTTATGTCTTAATTAAATTTGACTAATTAAGAAACAAACCACAATCCAAACCACGCATCTACCTCGTGTTAGATAAAAGTACGTTTACAAAAAAGCGATAATTCCTAATTAAGAACGCCCACCTCTTCCTTTCTCCTCACACTTTTCTCACACCTTCCTTGATATGATACACTGACACCATGATACACTGACACCATGATACACTGACACCATGATACACTGACACCATGATACACTGACACCATGATACACTGACACCATGATACACTGACACCATGATACACTGACACCATGATACACTGACACCATGATACACTGACACCATGATACACTGACACCATGATACACTGACACCATGATACACTGACACAATGATACACTGACACCATGATACACTGATTTCTACCCTACTCCATTAATCCTATCATCTCCATTTCACAGGAAATTCATTGTCACAACTGATGAAAGTTTGGCTTCTATTGATGTGGGGAAAGTTTGGCTTTTATATCAACTGAGGTCTACTTTACTGGCAAATCATTATTTACTGATGATTATTTAAAACGGCTTGTTTCTTTGTTATATATCCGTTTGTCACCATAAGTTAATAACAAAGACCTTTTAATCATCTTACATTTGGGGTAATCTATTTTCATCAAAAACATTACTTTTAGTTTTAAATTACAATTGTGCTTTAAAATATAACGTCTGGGTAGACATGTACACTTTTTGTGAACCACTGCGTTGATAGACAAAAAGGCAATAAATAAATCGACACATTGCAGGCACCTGACTTAGAGAGCTGCTCATCTGAACAGACCTTTTGCCCAAAGTCTGACGTTGGAGATTTGAGTCTCTTCAAACCTTTCTTAGTTCGGAGCTTTACAGCATTATTCAGGTAAGCTTTGTTAGTAACGTTAGGAGACCGTGCGGGTGGGGGGGGGGGGGGGCGTTTCCCGGAGGTCACTTGCCTAAATATGACGAATGCCCGAATGGACACTTGCCTAAACGAAAACAATACGTTTTGTTAATATGTATTGGTGTTGGAACAAAAATAATTATTTAATTAGCGTGGATTGGTAAAATCGGATATTTTACATATTGCCTTTTGTTTATTTTATACACTGGACGTTTACTGTTTATTATTTTTAATCAATAACAATTTAGAAGCCGCTACTAAATGTCCTCTATGTTTACTTCGATCTTTCGATTTGCGTACAAGCTGAGGGTTTTATAGTCGTTCACTAAATGGAATCAGTATCGTCCGCTGGTGCCCCTGCAGGATTCGATTTGGCGCGTTTTTTGCGGGTTTTTTTTAATGTTTGCTTTTTGTTTGTGTTTACCTCTGTGTTTGTGTTTCCTTTGATATTTGCGTTTGTGTTTGCGTTTATGTTTGTATTTGCTTTTGTGTTTGTTTTTCCTTTTGTGTTTAGGTTTGTATTTGCATTTGTGTTTGCGTTATTGTTTTGATTTTGGTTGGTTGTGTTTACTGTTAAGTTTAAAGTTAGAGTTGGGTTTTAAATTAAGTGTTCGTTTGTGAAACGTCAACGCTGCTTAATAAACGCAGAAGTCAAGGTCCGTTACAGATAGGTTTTTCACAGAGGCTAGTGCAGGGCCTGGCCGGGACGTCTAGTTTTATATAAATCTATGTTTGTATAGAAATGGAATTGGCTAAAATAGGATATAATTAGATATTATCTTTATTAATAGTAAACGATGCTAAATAAATTACTCCAAAAAATTTGCAATTTATTGTAGGTGCCCAGCTGGCCGAGATGTTAGTGTAACGGTAACCATGCGGGTGGTACGGGTTCGAGACACATCATGACAATGTAAAAACATTTTAGATGTGAATCATAAAGCTGCCTGTCGGGATTTGGAGGGAAACTGGGCAGGTGAAGTAGAGTTCATCTAATTCTGTGCATATAATCGGATAGTAGTGTTTAGACTCACGCTCAGCCGAAATAGGTGTTTTTAAAATACAAAAACATGTTGCCTGAGGTTTGACGTCATTTATGGATGAACTCCGAAACACAGGCTTTTCAAAAATAGCGGGTAATCTAGTAAACACTCAAAATAAATGTAAACACTACACAATTTAAAAAACTAAAAGTGACAAAACACCTAATCATACTACAAACAAACCTGAAAAGATAAGTGATACTTGAAAATCATACAGACAGTAAAGTGGTATATACAAGTGAAGGGTGACAAGACCCTATCTTCATTATCAACCCACAAGTAGATCACACCGAACAAAATTGTAAAATCCTGTACATTTCAGATCACTGTATATTAAAATACTAGCTCCACGACAAAAAAGAATAAATTTACACTGGTACATGACTTAATCCAGACCCAGCGGCGTATCTGGGGGGGGGGGGGGGGGGGGGCGCCGTGCGCCGACCCTACGGGGATCGCCAAATCGGGTGCAAAAAATTTTTTAAAGCTGATTTTATACTTCAGTTTTGAATTAGAAACAGTCTAAGTTAAGAAATGTAATTGCTACTGATTTAACATTTTTCTACCTTGATTGTGTAACTGTAAAACATATACCCTTAAGAAACAGTGACCAGCAAGAAAACACTTCCCAGCTTTTCCTAGATGGGGGGGGGGGCGCTTTTTCGCGATTAAAATGGGAAGAATTTACACTAGATTGGTGAATCGATAAACGTTACCACTTATAAAAGAAACCAATTGTATTAAAACGTATCGTACGATTGTTTAACCGTAAAAAAAAACGCAGTGACTTATATCAAGATGGTGCAGGGGGGGGGGGCGCTTTTTCGCTAAATAAAATCACAATGATTTACACTGGATTGGTGAGTAGGTAACCTAAATCACTTAGAAAAGGAAACTAATTGTATTAAAGCGCATTGTGTAACATTTTTAAAAAGTTAGTTACGTTAAAAATCTCTCTCTACCAACTTGGTTCAAGATGGTGGGGAGGAGTGTGTGTATTGGGGGGGGGGGGGCGCTTTTTCGCGAACAAACATCTCAAGTATTTGTACTGGATTGGTTCTAACCCCTAGAAAATAACCTAATTGTATTAAAGCGTATTGTGTTACAGTAAAATTTTTAAAAAATGTATGGTGGGTGGCCGTGCTTTTTCGTGAATGTAAATGGGAAGGATTTAACACTTAGAATATAAAGCAACGAGCCGACCCGCGGCGTATCACACGCCGCTATTTAGTTTTATTTTCTACTTTTCAGTGATTAATTTGTGAATTCGACAGTACCAATGCTGTCACTGAAAATATTTGCTTTAAAACACTAAAACCCTCCTTACCCCCCAACCCCAACCCCTCCCCCCCCCCCCCCCCGTGAATATAATCAGGGCGTCATGGGCGGTACCGCTCTCATTAAACTGGTTATTACTGCTTCTTCTACCAGTACAATTAGTTCTACATTTGTTGTTGACTGTGTACGAGAAGGCAGCGCAAATGTGCGAAATCCAAGACTTCGAGCTGTTGGATTCCAGTTTGCTTCCTCTAGCTTGTTTCGTTATACCATCAACCAGTCGTGTTTCGTTATACCATCAACCAGTCGTGTTTCGTTATACCATCAACCAGTCATGTTTCATTATACCATCAACCAGTCGTGTTTCATTATACCATCAACCAGTCGTGTTTCATCAACCAGTCGTGTTTCATTATACCATCAACCAGTCATGTTTCATTATACCATCAACCAGTCGTGTTTCATTATACCATCAACCAGTCGTGTTTCATTATATCATCAACCAGTCATGTTTCATTATACCATCAACCAGTCATGTTTCATTATACCATCAACCAGTCGTGTTTCATTATACCATCAACCAGTCATGTTTCATTATACCATCAACCAGTCGTGTTTCATCAACCAGTCATGTTTCATTATACCATCAACCAGTCGTGTTTCGTTATACCATCAACCAGTCGTGTTTCATCAACCAGTCATGTTTCATTATACCATCAACCAGTCATGTTTCATTATACCATCAACCAGTCATGTTTCATTATACCATCAACCAGTCGTGTTTCATTATACCATCAACCAGTCGTGTTTCATCAACCAGTCATGTTTCATTATACCATCAACCAGTCATGTTTCATTATACCATCAACCAGTCGTGTTTCATTATACCATCAACCAGTCGTGTTTCATTATACCATCAACCAGTCGTGTTTCATCAACCAGTCGTGTTTCATTATACCATCAACCAGTCATGTTTCATTATACCATCAACCAGTCGTGTTTCATCAACCAGTCATGTTTCATTATACCATCAACCAGTCATGTTTCATCAATCAGTCATGTTTCATTATACCATCAACCAGTCATGTTTCATTATACCATCAACCAGTCATGTTTCGTTATACCATCAACCAGTCATGTTTAATTATACCATCAATCAGTCGTGTTTCATCAATAAGTCATGTTTCATTATACCATCAACCAGTCATGTTTCGTTATACCATCAACCAGTCTTGTTTCATTATACCATCAACCAGTCGTGTTTCATTATACCATCAACCAGTCGTGTTTCATTATACCATCAACCAGTCATGTTTCATTATACCATCAACCAGTCGTGTTTCATTATACCATCAACCAGTCGTGTTTCATTATACCATCAACCAGTCATGTTTCATTATACCATCAACCAGTCGTGTTTCATTATACCATCAACCAGTCATGTTTCATTATACCATCAACCAGTCATGTTTCATTATACCATCAACCAGTCGTGTTTCATTATACCATCAACCAGTCGTGTTTCATCAACCAGTCATGTTTCATTATACCATCAACCAGTCATGTTTCATTATACCATCAACCAGTCGTGTTTCATTATACCATCAACCAGTCGTGTTTCATTATACCATCAACCAGTCGTGTTTCATCAACCAGTCATGTTTCATTATACCATCAACCAGTCATGTTTCATTATACCATCAACCAGTCGTGTTTCATTATACCATCAACTAGTCATGTTTCATTATACCATCAACCAGTCATGTTTCATCAATCAGTCATGTTTCATTATACCATCAACCAGTCATGTTTAATTATACCATCAATCAGTCGTGTTTCATCAATAATTCATGTTTCATTATACCATCAACCAGTCATGTTTCGTTATACCATCAACCAGTCTTGTTTCATTATACCATCAACCAGTCGTGTTTCATTATACCATCAACCAGTCGTGTTTCATTATACCATCAACCAGTCGTGTTTCATTATACCATCAACCAGTCATGTTTCATTATACCATCAACCAGTCGTGTTTCATTATACCATCAACCAGTCATGTTTCATTATACCATCAACCAGTCATGTTTCATCAACCAGTCATGTTTTATTATACCATCAACCAGTCATGTTTCATCAATCAGTCATGTTTCATTATACCATCAACCAGTCGTGTTTCATTATACCATCAACCAGTCGTGTTTCATTATACCATCAACCAGTCGTGTTTCATTATACCATCAACCAGTCATGTTTCATTATACCATCAACCAGTCGTGTTTCATCAACCAGTCATGTTTCATTATACCATCAACCAGTCATGTTTCATTATACCATCAACCAGTCGTGTTTCATTATACCATCAACCAGTCGTGTTTCATCAACCAGTCGTGTTTCGTTATACCATCAACCTGTCATGTTTCATTATACCATCAACCAGTCGTGTTTCATCAACCAGTCGTGTTTCGTTATACCATCAACCAGTCATGTTTCATTATACCATCAACCAGTCATGTTTCGTTATACCATCAACCAGTCGTGTTTCATTATACCATCAACCAGTCGTGTTTCATTATACCATCAACCAGTCGTGTTTCATCAACCAGTCATGTTTCATTATACCATCAACCAGTCGTGTTTCGTTATACCATCAACCAGTCATGTTTCATTATACCATCAACCAGTCGTGTTTCATCAACCAGTCATGTTTCATTATACCATCAACCAGTCGTGTTTCGTTATAC